GTTCACCTTCATCCACCAACAGGAACCTTTAAACACTGGTTCTTGTTGCTCACTCACTTGTCTGTCTCTCTGTCTGTCTGTCTCTCTGTCTCTCTGTCTCAGGACTGTGTAGATATTGATGAATGTTTGGATCTCCCCGACGCCTGTGTATCAAACTCTGTGTGCATCAACACTGTGGTGAGTTTCATGTTCGCAAATACACACTGATATATATTCAGTATATATATATATATATATAGGCTACAGTATATACTGTATATATAATGTATAAGCTATATATGTGTGTGTACGTATATATACACAGTATATATACACAGTATAAACATATACTGTGTATACTATATATACAGTATAGTACTGTCAGCAGTGAGGCGGCGCCCCCCAGTGGACACTCTGCTGTAACACACGTCTTGTCCTCTCAGGGTTCATATAAGTGCGGCGGCTGTAAACCCGGTTTCCTCGGCAACCAGACATCAGGTTGCTACCCCAGGAAGTCGTGTGCTGCGTTGACGTTTAACCCCTGTGACACCAATGCGCACTGCACCATGGAGAGGAACGGAGAGGTGGCCTGCAGGGTGAGTACTGGACTCAAAGGAATCTGCCATATAACCACATTCTGTATATCAGCCTGCATTATTATGTTAATCACAGGTTTAATAACAGCCCATAATAACCGCTTACATGGAGGACAGGAAGGGATTGTCTACATTGGAATCACAAACTCTCAAGCTTTTTAACAGAAATACAAGAAATTATCTGAAAACGTTTCAGTGTTTGTTGTGTTTGGAATCCGTTCACCACTTTACCTCGCTCACAGGATCCATCTACGCTCTCGAAAGCCACCAGACTCCTTTTACAAAACCACTCATTTTACCTCACAGAACACAGAAGTTTCTGGTCTCCCGCTGCCTCCATCTGCAGTGACTAACGATAGTTTGGATCCACGTTAATGTGTTAAAACTCCACAGTCACACAATAACACAGACACACCAACAGATGGAGGCAGCGGTAGAGCAGGAAGTCTGTGTCAACTTCAAAATAAAATGACTGTTTTTATCAAAGGAGTCTGGTGGCTCCGCGTCAGAAAGGACATATGTTGTGATTTTCTCTTTAATATGGTTTAAATGAACAGACCTTCCTCCATCCATTCACTCATATTGACTGTGTGTGTGTGTGTGTGTGTGTGTGTGTGTGTGTGTGTGCAGTGTAACGTGGGTTGGGCTGGTAATGGTAACACATGTGGAACAGACACGGACATCGACGGGTAACCTGACCGCTCTCTGCCCTGCATGGACAACGATAAACACTGCAAACAGGTCAGACATCTTCATCTTCATCATCATCATAATCATCACATCCTGTCCGTCCACATAAAGGCTGCGTTTCATTAGTCGTTCACTTGCCCTCGGCACTTGCCCACGGGGGAATCCGCGCCGCCATCATAAGTGTCGTTCCAATTGTCTGGAAAACTGAAGTGAACTTGGTGAGATGGACCCTCGGAGGGCTGAGGGAGCGACTGAACAACGATGGTCACTCCGAGGTGGATATCACCCACAATGCATTGCAGTTTACGTCATTGCCGCTATAACGCCGAGTAAGGGCAAGTGCGTTTCATTTAAATCCCCCACTTTCCCTCCGCGCTCCAAGTGGCCTCCGTGCGACGTATGCTGTTAGGTCATACCAAGGGCTGAGGGTAAGTGAACGAGGGGAAGTGGAACTACTAATGGGTAGATTATGATATTGATTTACTTTGTCTTACTGAGACCTGGTTGTCCCACGAGGAGTATGTTAGCCTAAATGAATCCACCCCCCCCCAGTCATATTAATACTCACATTCCTCGAGGCACTGGCCGAGGAGGTGGAGTAGCAGCCATATATGATTCGAGCGTTTTAATGGACCCTAAACCTAAACTAAATTATAATTCATTTGAAAGCCTTGTTCTTAGTCTTTCTCACCCAAACTGGAAAACACTGCAGCCAGTTCTATTTGTTATAGTGTACCGCGCTCCTGGACCGTACTCTGATTTTATATCTGAATTCTCAGAGTTTCTATCAAGTTTAGTCCTTAAATCAGATAAAGTAATTATTGTAGGTGATTTTAATTTTAATATTCATGTGGATGTTGACAATGACAGCCTTAGTAACGCATTTATATCATTAATAGACTCAATTGGCTTCTGTCAGAGTGTAAATAAACCAACTCATTGTTTTAATCACACTCTTGACCTTGTTTTATCATATGGCATTGATATTGAACATTTAATAGTCTTCCCACATAATCCTTTCCTATCTGACCATTATTTAGTAACTTTTGAATTCATACTATTAGATTATAAGCCATTAGGCAAAACTTCCTACAGCAGATGTCTATCTGACAGTGCTGTAGCTAAATTTAAGGAGGAGATTCCTTCAGTGTTTAATTCAATGCCATGTCTGAATTTAACAGAGTCCTATAACGACTTTAGTCCCTCTGAAATTGATAATCTTGTTGATAGTGCTGCAGGCTCACTACGATCAGCATTAGACTCTATCGCTCCTATAAAAGGGAAATTATTAAAACATAGGAGACTAGCACCTTGGTATAACCACCAAACCCACCAGTTAAAGCAAATAGCTAGGAAATCTGAAAGGAAATGGCACTCTTCCAAATTATCAGAATATCGCTCAAATTGGCAAGATAATCTTAAAACTTATAGAAAGGCCCTCCGTAATGCCAGAGGAGCCTATTACTCAGCACTAATAGAAGAAAATAAGAATAACCCTAGGTTCCTCTTCAGCACTGTAGCCAGGCAGACAGAGAGTCACACCTCTATTGAGCCACATATCCCCATAAACTTAAGTAGCAACAACTTCATGAGCTTCTTCTATAATAAAATTATTACTATTAGAGAGAAAATTAATCACCAACTGCCATCAACAGTTATCAGTGGCTCTCCAAGTTCAGGGACTTTTTCAATGTAAACTCAGATATATATTTAGACTGTTTTTCTGCTATCGATCTTCATCAGTTAACTTCAATCATTTCTTCATCGAAGCCATCAACCTGTGTATTAGACCCGATCCCAACTAGGCTACTTAAAGAAGTTGTTCCCTTAATTGGCACTTCTTTACTGGATATGATTAATCTTTCTTTATTATCAGGATATTTACCACAGTCCTTTAAAGTAGCTGTAATTAAACCCCTTCTTAAAAGCCCACTCTTGACCCAGGGGTTTTAGCCAACTATAGACCGATTTCTAACCTCCCCTTCCTCTCTAAGATTCTGGAGAAAGTAGTCGCCAAAGAGTTGTGTGACTTTCTACATAACAATAGTTTATTTGAGGATTTTCAGTCAGGATTTAGAGTTCATCATAGCACAGAGACAGCTCTGGTTAAAGTTAATAATGACCTTCTGATTGCTTCTGACAATGGACTTGTCTCTGTACTTGTATTATTAGATCTTAGTGCTGCATTTGACACCATTGACCATAATATTCTTTTACAGAGACTTGAGCATCAAATTGGCATTAAAGGAACCGCACTAAGCTGGTTTAAGTCATATTTATCAGATCGCTCGCAGTTTGTACATGTTAACGATGAATCTTCAATAAATACTACAGTTAGTCATGGAGTTCCACAAGGTTCTGTACTTGGACCAATACTATTTACTTTATATATGCTCCCTTTAGGCAACATTATTAGGAATGACTCCATTGACATTCACTGTTATGCAGATGATACGCAGTTATATCTATCAATCAAGCCCGATGAAATTAATCAATTATCTAAATTACAAACATGTCTTAAGGACATAAAATCCTGGATGAGCTGCAATTTTCTGATGTTAAACTCAGAAAAAACCGAAATTCTTGTTCTTGGCCCCAAAAACCTTAGAGACTCATTGTCTAAAGATATAGTCACTCTAGATGGCATTAACTTGGCCTCTAGCACCACTGTCAGGAATCTTGGAGTTATCTTTGATCAGGATTTGTCATTTAACTCCCACATAAAGCAGACCTCTAGGACTGCCTTCTTTCATTTACGTTATATTAGAAAAATTAGACACATACTATCACAGACAGATGCAGAAAAACTAATCAATGCATTTGTTACTTCAAGGCTGGATTACTGCAACTCTTTATTATCAGGTTGCCCCAATAAGTCCATTAAAACGCTCCAATTAATTCAGAACGCTGCAGCACGAGTACTGACAGGAACTAGAAAAAGAGATCACATCTCTCCTGTACTAGCTTCTCTGCATTGGCTCCCTGTAAAATGTAGAATAGAATTTAAAATCCTCCTCCTCACCTATAAAGCTCTTCATGGTCAGGCCCCTTCATATCTTAAAGAGCTCATAGTACCCTATTACCCCACTAGAACACTACGTTCTCTGAATGCTGGGCTACTTGTGGTTCCTATAGTCTCTAAAAGTAGAACAGGAGCCAGAGCCTTCAGTTACCAAGCTCCTCTCCTGTGGAACCAGCTTCCATTTGTGGTTCGGGAGGCAGACACCCTCACCACATTCAAGAGTAGGCTTAAGACATTCCTCTTTGATAAAGCTTATAGTTAGGGCTGGATCAGGTGAGTCCTGAACCATCCCTTAGTTATGCTGCTATAGGCCTAGACTATCGGGGGATTTCCCATGGTGCACTGAGCTCCTCTCTTCCTCTCTCTTTCTGCACTCATTCATGTCCCATTAATGCATGTTACTAACTCCACTTCTTCCCCGGAGTTCTTGTGCTTTCTCATCTCGCAGGTTCTCATGGATCCTAGTGGAGCCTCCTGCCATGGTCCTGCTTGACTGCCATTGCCAATACTGTTGTTGCTGTGCACCTGTCTGTCTGTCTGTCCTGTCTCTCGCTCTCTCTCTCTCTCTCTCTCTCTCTCTCTCACCCCAACTGGTCGAGACAGACGACCACCCACCTAGAGCCGGAGGACAGTTTTTCCTTGCCCTTGTCGCCAAGGTCTTGCTCATGGTGGTACTGTTGGGTCTCTGTAATTAATGTTTTAAAGAGTTCGGTCTAGACCTGCTCTATTTGAAAAGTGTCCTGAGATAACTTCTGTTATGAATTGGCGCTATACAAATAAAATTGAATTGAATTGAATTGAATTGAATTAATAATAATAAAGTACAGTGATCCTTCCCGCCCGCATGTTCTAACTGATCTCAGAGCAGCTCTGTGAGTTTTATAATCTGCTGTAATCTCAGTTAATCCGCCCCTCCCCCCCGCTCTGTGTCCCGGTTCGGCTCTGTCCCCCTTCAGTCTCTGACCTGCAGGGATGAGGGCTGCAGCTCCAGGTGGATTCCTGGTGCTGCCGTGGTCCGGTGGGGGCAGCAGCTCAGACCCAGAGCAGGAACCGGGACCGGGAGAGGAGGGTCGGGGGGGTCTGCTGCTGAGGACTGGAGCTCTGCTGGGACTCACTGTGATCTGTAAGTTTCTGACTGATCAATGATAACAATAACTGACTGTTTATACAGAAGGGTTATAGCTGTGGACTTTATACACTGATTATTGATTATAGATAACAGATTAACTGAGGCACCCATAGCTGAGAATAATAATAATAATAATAATAATAATAATAATAAAAAAAAAAATAATAATAATGTAGAACAGGGTCACACTGGTACTGTGTGACCGGGGGGGGCAGCATTCAATCAGCTGATTATCAGAGGATTGACTCAACATTCCTGTTTCCTGCTGACTCCACACTTTACTGTGTGTGTGTGTGTGTGTCTGTCTCTGTGTGTGTGTCTCTGTGTGTGTGTGTGTGTGTGTCTGTCTGTCTGTCTGTCTGTCTCTCTGTGTGTGTGTGTGTGTGTGTGTGTGTGTGTGTGTGTGTCTGTCTCTGTGTGTGTGTCTCTGTGTGTGTGTGTTGTCTCTGTGTGTGTGTGTGTGTCCGTGTGTGTGTGTGTGTGTGTGTGTGTGTGTGTGTGTGTGTGTGTCTGTGTGTGTGTCTGTCTGTCTGTCTGTGTGTGTGTGTGTGTGTGTGTGTGTGTGTGTGTGTGTGTGTCTCTGTGTGTGTGTGTGTGTGTGTGTCTGTCTCTGTGGGTGTGTGTGTGTGTGTGTGTGTGTCTTGTGTGTGTGTGTGCTCTGTGTGTGTGGTGTGTGTGTCTGTCTCTGTGTGTGTGTGTGTGTGTGTGTCTCTGTGTGTGTGTGTGTGTGTGTCTCTGTGTGTGTGTGTGTGTGTGTGTGTGTGTGTTCTCTGTGTGTGTGTGTGTGTCTCTGTGTGTTTGTGTGTGTTTCTCTCTCTGTGTGTGTGTGTGTGTCTCTCTGTGGGTGTGTGTGTCTCTCTGTGTGTGTGTGTGTGTGTGTCTTGTGTTTGTGTGTGTTTCTCTCTCTCTCTTGTGTGTGTGTGTGTGTGTCTTTGTGTGTGTGTGTCTCTTGTGTGTGTGTGTGTGTGTGTTCTCTCTCTTGTGTGTGTGTGTGTGTGTGTCTCTGTGTGTGTGTGTGTGTGCAGGTGTGGCGGTGTTGAGGAGGTGGATTGCAGGTGGAGTGTGTCGCTGTTCAGTCCGTCTGGATGGACAGACAGTCCTGATCACTGGAGCAAACACCGGCATCGGCAAAGAGACGAGCAGAGAGCTGGCAGCCAGAGGTCAGAGTTCACACACACACGCACACACAGCAACAGCATGATGACATCAGCAGAGGTCAGAGGTCGTAGTAAGGCTCAGCCGACTTCAGAGAGGCTGAAACTATCTGAGCCGATTACGGGGATTAATACTTCCTGTCTGTGTGCGCTGAATCAAACGCACCCTGGAACCGCCCTGAACTACCCGGGTGGAGACAGGGTGTTTGATTTGTGGTTCTGGGTGTGTTTGATTCACTGCAGGCGCCCGGGTGGTGATGGCGTGCAGGGACCTGACCCGGGCGGAGCAGGCGGCGGAGGAGATCCGGCGGTCGACAGGAAACGGTAACGTGGTGATCAGACACCTGGACCTGGCCTCGGTCTACTCCGTCAGGCAGTTCGCTAAAGACTTCCTGGACAGTGAGGACAGACTGGACATCCTCATCAACAACGCAGGTGAGCTCACCTGTCTGCCTGCTCACCTGTCTGACTATACCTGTCTGTTCACCTGTCTGTCTCTCTCTACCTGTCTGCAGGAGTGATGATGTGTCCAAGATGGCTGACAGAGGACGGGTTCGAGACTCAGCTGGCCGTCAATCACCTGGGTCACTTCCTGTTAACCAACCTGCTGCTGCCGAGGCTGAAGAGCTCCGCCCCCAGCCGAGTGGTCACCGTGTCATCCATCGCCCACCGCGGCGGTACGACCTCTGACCTCTGATCTTTCTCTGTGGCCTTTATGACGTCCGCTGGTTGTGAGTTTTATGTTTCTCTGATTCTTCAGGTCGCATCGACCTGGACGACCCGTTCTTCATCAGGAGGCCGTACAGTCCGCTGGAGAGCTACAGACAGAGCAAACTGGCCAACGTCCTGTTCACCAGAGAGCTCGCCAGACGACTGAGAGGTAGACAGACAGTGAGAGAGACAGACAGTGAGAGAGAGACAGAGAGAGAGAGAGACAGTCAGAGAGACAGAGAGAGAGAGAGACAGAGAGAGAGAGAGAGAGAGAGAGAGACAGAGAGAGAGACAGAGAGAGAGAGAGACACAGAGAGAGAGACAGAGAGAGACAGACAGTGAGAGAGACAGAGAGAGAGAGAGAGAGAGACAGACAGTGAGAGAGACAGAGAGAGAGAGACAGAGAGAGAGACAAAGATTGATCTTGGCTATGAGACCAGCGCTGAACCCAAACCTCTCCATGACCTTCCAAAGGAAGTCGTGTTCAACGCGGTCAAAAGCCTTTTCTTGATCTAATGAGATCAATCCAGTGTTTATGCCTAATGAACTGGAGACCTCCAAAACATCCCGAATGAGGTAGATATTATCTACCATAGACCTGCCGGGCACACAGTACGTCTGGTCCCGGTGGAGAATCTGCTCCATGGTTCCTTTCAGCCTATTGGCCAGGACTTTGGACAGTATTTTGTAGTCAGTGCAGAGGAGAGAGACAGGACGCCAGTTTCTGATTTCTTGCAAATTGCCTTTCTTGGGCAAGAGGGTAATTACGGCTCTCCGACATGAGAGTGGCATTGACCCAGACACCAGGCTCTCATTAAAAACATCTATGAGGTCATGGGCCAAGATGTCCCAGAAGGCTTTGTAGAACTCTACAGTGAGGCCGTCGATGCCTGGAGCCTTTCGTCCCTGCATGCTCTGCAGTGCAGCGTACAGCTCTTGTGGAGTCAGTGGGCTGTCGAGCTGCTGGTTAGCCTCTCTAGACACCTGAGGAAGTCCACCACAGACCTCCTCCATCAGTTCCTCGTTCTCCTTGAACTCACTCTCAAACAATGAGGCGTAAAACTCCACAGCTCTTTTCCTTATCAGGCCTGGCTCTGTCAGCTCTTGCCCTGTCTCAGAGAGCAGAGAGTGGATTTGTCTCCTCTGCCCTTGTTTCTTCTCAAGCCCAAAGAAGAAACTCGATGAAGCATCCATCTCCGTGATGTTTTGAACCCGGGACCGGACCAGCGCCCCCCTGTACTTTAGTGTCCAGCAGGTTGGCTAAAGCCATCTTTTTAGTCTTGAGGATTTCAATATATCCTCGATTTCCTGTGGACTCACTTGTACACTCGAGATCCACAATATCAGTCTCCAGATCTCTGATAGATCTGGTGATGTCGCGTGTGACATTGAGCGTGTGCTGCTGACATAAAAGTTTAATTTGAACCTTCCCATGGTCCCACCACTGCCTCAGACTGACAAACTCGGTTTTTTTCTGTTTAAAATCATTCCAAAAATAACTTAAAGCCTCCTTGAAAGATTTATCAACAGTTAAAACAGAGTTAAAATGCCAATAGGCGCTTTTGGGTAAAATGTTTCTGATAAAAACATTACATAAAACCAAAGAATGATCAGTAAAACCAACTGGTAAAATCTTACACATTTTAACAACACTGACTCTGTGCTTAAAAACATAAAAACGATCAAGTCTGGCCAAAGAGATTCTGTTTTCTCTAACGTGGGACCATGTGTACTGTCTGCAGCCTGTGTGCATCCTTCTCCACACGTCCACCAGGCCATGGGAGGAGACCAGCTGCCTCAAGGCATGCTGGGATACTGGATGAGGCTCTGCATGGTTGTGATCTAAAATCTCATTTTCAGTACAATTAAAATCCCCACCCACGAATAAATAATCCTCCGGGCCACAGCTGTTTAAAATATCATTCATATTTTCAAAGAAGTGTTTCCTCTCTGCACCGTTGTTTGGAGCATAAATGTTGATAAAAACCACATTAAAATGTTCAAAACGAGCTCTGACTGAAAGACACCTCCCCTCCACAACATGCCTGACCTCCAGAGAGGTTGGAGTAAAACCTCTGGAGAACAGGAAGCCCACTCCTCCACTGAGGGTGGTGTTATGGCTTAAAATCAGTTCTCCTTCCCATTCTCTGCTCCAGTCTGCCTCGTTTCCAACATCACTGTGAGTTTCTTGTAGAAACAGAACATCAATATGTTTCATTTTAGCCGTTTCAAACACTACTGCTCTCTTTCTTATTTCTCTGGCACCATTGACATTCAGACTGCCCACTTTAAAAACATTCATAATGATGGAGATGTTAAGAACAAGACTAAAAACAATCAATGAAATAAATAAGAATAAAATCCCTACATTTCACCATCATTAAAAACTGAGTTGTTTTCTGACTTTAATAATCAGTTTTTTCAGTCTGAATATTTCTTGGTCAGTCAGCTCTGACTCTGCTCTGTGTTTCACAGTATACCTGGCTGAGTTATAGAAACCCTGCATATCAGGGAAGTACTGCTCTAACACTGGCTTCCTCATCCCTTTGGTCTGTTGTAAAAAAGACTTCAGTACATTGGCAGTATACACCTGAGCAGCAGCCTGCTGAGTGTGAGACAGGTCACTGCTGTCAGACACACACCCTTCACTGTCACTGCTGTCAGATAGAGCTGCTCTGTTCTCTGCAGCACTCGGTTTACCGGCCAGACGTCCGGCTTTACCACCCACCTCCACGGTTAATATGCTTCTCCTCTTACTGCGCTGTTTAAGAGGAGCAGACCCCCACCCAGACTCACAGGCCTCCATCTCTTCAGCCTCAGCTACTGTGCTCCCCTCACTCAGCTCACCTGCTAGTTTACCTGTCTCACCCAACTCACCTACAACCTCACCTCTCTCTCTCCTCTCTTAACTTTTACAACACCTCAAACCTCACAACCTCTTTACCTGCCTCACCCAACTCACCTACAACCTCACCTACCTCACCCAACTCACCGACAACCTCACCTGCCTCACCCAACTCACCTACAACCTCACCTACCTACAACCTCACCTGCCTCACCCAACTCACCACAACCTACCTGGTTCACCTACCACTCCCTCCTTCTAGTTCACCTGTTACTTTACCTGCCTCACCCACTTCACCAGGAACCTCACCTGCCTCTCCACCGACACCTGTTTCACCCACATCCTCGACCAATTCACCTGCATCTTTATCTAAAATACCACCTGTCACCCCCACCTTACCTGTCACCTCACCCGTTTCCCCTCCCACCTCCTCCCTCTCACTACTCACCTCAGTGCTCCCTCCAGCCTGGCTCTGCATCTCTTCCACCTGTTTCTCTGCAGCTCCTGCTTCTTTTTCTTGCCCTGCGGCACCGGCCCCCCACCGGCCACCGCGCCCCCACCGCCGGAAGGGCCAGCCGGCGGCAGCGGCGGGTACCGCCCGAATCCCCGCAGGAGCAGGCGGCACGGGCGCGGCGGCCGCCGCACCGCGGCTCGGACAGGCCTTAATCAAATGTCCCTCTTCGCCACATCCGAAACATTTCACAGTGGATGATGTTGCAAAGAGAATGTAGTCAAAATCATCCACACGGACTCTGAACCGGTAATCAAACTCTTCATTTTTGTTGTTGAGCAACATGAAGAGCTGTCTGCGGTGAGACACTACATGTCTCAGGAGGGGAGACTTACAGCCCGACAGCACTTTTCTTATTGGTGACACCACCTTTCCATGTCTGGACAGCTCTTTAATCAAGAAATCATCACTAATGAACGGAGGAACGTTTGATAAAGTGATCCTTGTAGCCGGCTGTATCAGCGGTATCACCGGCTCAAACATCCCATTCACCGTAATGCCCGTCTCCACCAACCTGTTCACCTGTTCCACCTCCTCCAGGAACAGAACCACCGCACTGTTCATCCGGGCAGCGGACTTCACAGAGCCGTGCCCGATGATTTCCCCCACGGCCAGTGCTACCTCCTCCACCCTGCACGGAGAGCCGGCTCCGGTTTTAATGCCGTGCTTCCGTGTCAGCCTGGAGAAAACGCTGCTGGACGCCATACCGGCGCCTCAGAGCGAGGCTGACAAACAACAAACAAACACTAAACTAACCAACAAACAACCAAACACCAACCAAAACAACACTAAACTAACACAACTACATTCACAAACACAACACAACGAAAATATACCGAAAGAAAGAAATAGAAAGAGAGAACAACACTAAATTTCATCCAACTCTTCCACTCACACTCAGAGAGAGAGAGAGAGAGAGAGAGAGAGAGAGATTCAAAGTTTAATATTTTATTAATTTACTTACTATACTCTTTTCGTCTTCTTACACTTTTTTTCCTTTTCATTTATTACCATTATTATTTTTTAATATCTAGTTTATTAGGGACCGAGCCAGCGACCGCTGGAGGTCCCTATTGTTTTTGCTCGATTTCTTCTTCTTCTTACCTATTATTATTATTTTTAGCCCCCTTCGACTGCATTTTTGCCCCCCTGAACATTTACAAAACTCAATTTTATTTGGCAAAGTGGTCAGGCCTGGTGAAAATGGGGATATTCTATGCGTCGGTTTCGGGTTTGCCACTAGGTGGCGCTACTATCATAAAAACCCTATAATTCTTCTCCGCTAGAGTGCGAAATGTCCTTAAACTACTTTTCCGTGTTCCCCCCGTGCGCTTTGTCCGATTCGCACACAAACTTTTTCACGTAGCATCTGAGGACCGTCATCATAAAAAAGTGATAAAATTATCACTTCCTGTGGATTTTTCGTCAAAAAAGGAAGTGGACCATTTCTCCACATTGGTATCTCCGATTGACACCAAACTTGGGTCCATAGTTCCTCATGTCTTCCTTAGGCATTGTGCACAATTTCAGGCCATCGCCACTAGGTGGCGCTCTTTAAAATGAAGAAGTTTATATCTCTACAACGGTATGTGTGATTAAGATGAAACTTGGTACGATGCTTCCCCATGGCTCCCTGAGGCTCACTAAAAAATGTGTCAACAATCCGCCACTAGGTGGCGCTCTGGTGGCAGGGTAAATCACTGTGTGGAGACCGTAATAGTTATGAATATGAAATTCACAGGGCACGTGTAGAGTAGTGCCTGAAGCTCACATACCAAAAATCGTGTTTGTCGTGTGTGTAGCGCCCCCTACAGGATAAAAAAACAGCAGCCCCGGCGCCACGTTTCACTGATATGTACGAAACTCGGTAGGCACGTGTAACATGCCGGGACGTACAAAACAGCCTCTTGGACCCATACCCCAAACCCCACAGGAAGTCGGCCATTTTCATTTTCACTTTCGGCGAACTTTTCGCGTTGTATTTGAACAAATTCCTCCTAGGGAATTTATCAGATCTGCTTCAAAATTTGTGAGTACAGTCAAAAAATGGTGCTGATTAAAAGTTGTGCTATTTGTGCTTGTACATTAAAGGGCGTGTCCGTGGCGTGGCATCAAAGTCAGCCATTTAGATTTTTTGGGTCATTTTCTGTGATTTTTCGTGTTGTATTTGAACGAACTCCTCCCAGGGAATTTATTGGATCTACTTCCAAATTAGTCAGTACAGTCAAAAAATGGTGCTGATTAAAAGTTGTGCTATTTGAGACTGTACGTTGAACGGCGTGTCTGTGGCGTGAGGTCAAAGTTGGCCACTTTGAATTCTGTCGTCATACAAACTGATTGAAAAGTTGAGCTATTTGTGATGTGTACATCACACCGCGTGCCAGTGACAACTTGTCGATTTCAGCAGATTCGCCATAAAAGAGCACTCATAACTTCAGTGTGCAGTGTCCAATCTCCAATAACCTTCATATATTCTGTAACAGTCTTGCCCTGAACACGTCCTCATAACTTCAGCGTATGTGGTCCAATCTCAATGAAACTTCACGTGTGTTACAACAGTCCCGCCCTGAACTTGTCTACATGACACAGTAATAGTGCCACCTACTGTCAACAGGAAGTAAGCGCTGTGTGGCAATTTTGAGCTGATTTACGTGAAACTTCATGTTTTGGTCCGCACATGTAACAATGGCACGTGACGTGGCTGCAGCACGCCCCAAGTTGCGTGGAGTGCGAGGTCCCGCCCAACGCTGCTTGCAGCTTTAATTATTATTATTTTTCCTTTAAGGTGTTTGTCTAATTTATGAACGGATCACACTTGGAGATGAAATCGTTTACAATAACATGTTGGAACATTCAAGGTCTGAGATCATCAGCTTTTGGTTTAAAGAGCAGAAATTCAGATTTTAATAGAGAGTTAAAAGACTCTGACATAGTTTTACAGGAGACATGGTGCAGAGAAGATGTTTCCACTGGTTGTCCTCACGGCTACACTGAGATTATTATACCATCAACAAAACATCCCACAATAACCCAAGGCAGAGATTCAGGAGGCATGATTATATGGTGTAAATCAGAACTGAGCCAGTCCATCACAGTTATTAAAAAAGAAGAATCTTATATATGGTTGAAAATTAACAAAAAGATTATTTGTGCTGAGCAACATGTCTACATGTGTGCCATCTATATACCTCCATCAGAATCCCCCTACTACAACCCAGATATTTACTCTATTCTTGAGGAGGAAATTAACCATTATAAAACCATGGGAAATGTATTACTCTGTGGGGACTTGAACGCTCGAACAGGGGAAAGAGCTGACACTATGAACACCCAGGGAGACAAACACTTACCTGGAAGCACCTGCTTCCCCCTCCCTGAATGTCCCACTAGAAAGAGCTTTGACAAGCTTACTAATACAAGCGGTATGCAGCTTTTACAGCTCTGCCGTACACTGGGTCTGTACATAGTCAACGGCAGGCTACGAGAGGACTCTCTGGGTCGCTACACTTACAGCTCAGCTCTTGGCAGTAGTACGGTAGATTATTTCATTACAGATCTAGATCCAATGTCTCTCAGAGCTTTAAAAGTCAACCCCCTCACACCCCTCTCTGACCACAGCAAAATCACAATCTATCTGAAAAGGGCCCAGTCTAACTCTGGAGCCCCTAGTGCCTATGAACTGTTTAACAGCACATACTCATACAGATGGACCCCTGACAGTATGGGGGCGTACCAAAAGGCACTGGAAAATCAAAACATACATGATTTAACTCATTTATTTCTAACTGAAACATTCCCCATAATAATTCTGGTTTAAATTCTGCTGTGGACAAAATCAATTAAATTTTTCATGGGCCCTGACAGTAAACACAGCAAAGACTAAGATAATGATCTTTCAGAAACAATACAGAAATCAGGTTACACACAATTTCTATTTAGACACCACTAAATTACAACATACAAAAAACTACACTTACCTTGGCCTCAACATTACATACACAGGAAACCTCAACATGGCTGTGAAAGATCTGAGGGACAAAGCAAGGAGAGCTTTCTATGCAATAAAGAGAAACATTAAAATCTATATTCCAATCCAAATCTGGCTTAAAATTTTCCAATTTGTACTAGAACCAATAACTCTGTATGGCAGCGAAATTTGGGGACCAAAACTAAATAATGAATTTGACAAATGGGACAAAACAATCATAGAATCTTTCCACAGCGAGTTCTGTAAGAGCATCCTGCAGGTGCAGAGAAAAACACCAAATAATCTGTGCAGAGCAGAGCTCGGTCAATACCCCCTCCTACTAAAAATACAGAAAAGATCAATTCAATTTTACAATCACTTAAAATCAGTTAACCCCCAGACATACCATCACAAAGCCCTAACATACCAGGAGCTGAAACCAGAGAAGAGTCCCCTCAGCCAGCTGGTCCTGAGGCTCTCTGCAGTAACATGTCCCCAACAGCCTCAGGACAGCAACACCAACTCAATCAGACCAAACCAAATTATCAACAAGCAAAAAGAAAATATATTGAATACTGGAAAGAAACGACCAAAACACAAAGTAAATTACAATGTTATCTGACCTTAAAAAGAGAATTCACACTGGCAAATTCCCTCAGCACAATAAAATGTCCTAAACTAAGAACAATGTTGACAATGTACAGACTGAGTGAACACAGCCTGGCCATAGAAACGGGTCGCCACAGACAGAACTGGCTACCAGAAGAGGAGAGACTCTGCTCCCAGTGTGACAGAGGACAGGTAGAGACAGAGCTGCACTTTCTAACCTCATGCCCTAAATTCAAAACTTTAAGAGAAAAACAATTCGCAAACATTTCCCAAATATACCCCGAATTCGAATTATTCGAGTAACTGATGTTCATTAGTAACCGATGTTCATTCAGTAACCGATGTTCATTCAGTAACCGATGTTCATTCAGTAACCGATGTTCATTAGTAACCGATGTTCATTCAGTAACCGATGTTCATTAGTAACCGATGTTCATTCAGTAACCGATGTTCATTAGTAACCGATGTTCATTAGTAACCGATGTTCATTCAGTAACCGATGTTCATTAGTAACCGATGTTCATTCAGTAACCGATGTTCATTAGTAACCGATGTTCATTAGTAACCGATGTTCATTAGTAACCGATGTTCATTCAGTAACCGATGTTCATTAGTAACCGATGTTCATTCAGTAACCGATGTTCATTAGTAACCGATGTTCATTCAGTAACTGATGTTCATTAGTAACCGATGTTCATTAGTAACCGATGTTCATTCAGTAACCGATGTTCATTAGTAACCGATGTTCATTCAGTAACCGATGTTCATTCAGTAACCGATGTTCATTCAGTAACCGATGTTCATTAGTAACCGATGTTCATTCAGTAACCGATGTTCATTAGTAACCGATGTTCATTCAGTAACCGATGTTCATTAGTAACCGATGTTCATTCAGTAACCGATGTTCATTCAGTAACCGATGTTCATTCAGTAACCGATGTTCATTAGTAACCGATGTTCATTAGTAACCGATGTTCATTCAGTAACCGATGTTCATTCAGTAACCGATGTTCATTCAGTAACTGATGTTCATTCAGTAACCGATGTTCATTCAGTAACCGATGTTCATTAGTAACCGATGTTCATTAGTAACCGATGTTCATTCAGTAACCGATGTTCATTCAGTAACTGATGTTCATTAGTAACTGATGTTCATTAGTAACTGATACAAACCGTTGGGTGACGTTACGATAGGTTGACACTTGGACTGTACCTGCTGCTGTTAGCCAGTTAGCAGCGCAGCAGTAAACCGGTTGTTTCGACCTCCTCAAACTGACCTCGGTGTCTCTTCCAGGCTCCGGCGTGTCGTCGTTCTGTCTCCACCCGGGTGTGATCCGGACCGAACTGGGTCGGCACGTTGAGGGCTGGTTCCCATTCCTGAGGGCGCTGCTGAGCCTCCCCTCCCTGCTGTTCATGAAGACCCCCAGCCAGGGCAGTCAGACCACCGTGTACTGCGCCGTGACGCCGGGCCTGGAGGGACGGTCCGGACGGTACTTCAGGTAGAGTAGTGGGGGGGGCCCACCCCTCCCTAAAAGCCTTCTTTCTTAGCTGCGTTAGCATTGCTGCTAACTTAGCTGTCCTATCAGGTGACTCTGGTGAGACCGGGAGCTCAGAGCACCGGGCAGTGTTGGTCTGTAGTTCAGGAGCTTTGAGCTAGCGTCAGTTAGCTGCAGTTAGCGGTCTCTGAACTGGACCTTCCTGCTCTAATTGTTCATTAAAATGTTCAGCTGAGTCGCTAACAGAACAGTAAGTATCCAGTTTATTAGAGTTGTATAATGTCCTCCGGTCTGCTGACTGGATGCTGAGAGTTGAGCTCCAGAGAATTAACAGACGTCCTTATAAACCACCAATGTGAGTTTATTTGGGTTTGTTTTCAGCGACTGTGCAGAGAAGGAAGCGGCTCCAGAGGGACAGGACGACGAGGTGGCGAGGAGGCTGTGGGAGGAGAGCGCCCGATTGGTCGGATTAAAAGACACATGCTGACCTCTGACTTCCTGTCTGTGTGCTGCAGTGAAACAGGAAGTGACTGTAGCGCCCCCTTCAGGTGGGACAGAAGAATCAGTGAACAACTTGCTGTGATTGACAGCTGACGGGAGCCAACAGTAAAATGATAATCAATAATCTAATACAGCTTTATGTCATCAGTAAAACAAACATTAAGTCTGTGTTTTATTCATAATTCAATCATTTTATAAGATGAAATGTCACAATTGAACATTAAAATTAAATTAAATTACATTTAAATGTATTTTATTATTTAATGAAAATAGAAACTTGTTGTAAGAAACGTATGAACTAGAGGTTACTGCTGAGTATTATTTATGTTTGGTTTTGTAGTGTGAAGACAACATTGTGGATCCAAATAAAGAATATTGATACAACATGAATCTTAAGTTTATTAAATTAACTGATCATAAAAGATCCTTAATGCGTTAAATGTGTAATAATGTATTACAATGTTTTCATTCGTGTTTAATCAGCTGGAAATAACAATCATTGTGTGTTAGTGAGAATGAGACGTTTTTATCTACAGAGGGAGGGGTCCTCTTCTGGCGGAGTCCGCCATTTTGAACCGCCATTTTGAACCGCCATGTTTCCACAGGAGCCCAGAACGGACAAACTCTGGATCTGGAAAGAACCACCGTAGTTTGTCTTACACTTAAGCTTAAAGCCTGAATATTGTCCCATTATGCTGGATAATGTTAGAAAGATCGTTAGCTGGTTACCACCATGGATCACGGGAAGCTAACGTTAGCCAACTAACACTAGCGTTAATGAGCAAGCTGCAACCCTGAATAACTAACGTCAGCTTGACACCGCTAGCCACTGCACAACTGTCTCTGTTAGAGAGCAGTTAGGCTCCGCCCACAACATACATCGTCACTGTTTACAAACACAAACGAGGTCAGTAGTAGCAGGTCACATCTTTTATTAAAATATATTTAAATGTTGGGAACAAAAGTGGAGCCTCAGTAACAGACCGATATAAAGAAGTTCCAACACACAGAGAGGTCAGTGAAGTACACACGGACCCGTCACAGCAAAAACAGGTGAACAAACCAAACAAACACTTCCTGCTTCAACACCTGAAACTCACCTGAGAGACAAAACTAAACAGTCAGTGTCTCTACCTGAGAGACCAATCCCCCCATCCATCAGCCCCAAAAACTGTCAGTAACAGTCAGTAACAGTCAGTAACTGTTAATAACAGTCAGTAACAGTCAGTAACAGTCAATAACAGTCAATAACAGTCAGTAACTGTTAATAACAGTCAGTAACAGTCAGTAACTGTCAGTAACTGTCAGTAACTGTCAATAACTGTCAATAACTGTCAGTAACTGTCAGTAACTGTCAGTAACTGTCAATAACTGTCAGTAACAGTCAGTAACTGTCAGTAACTGTCAGTAACTGTCAGTAACAGTCAGTAACTGTCAGTAACTGTCAGTAACTGTCAGTAACTGTCAGTAACTGTCAATAACTGTCAGTAACAGTCAGTAACTGTCAGTAACTGTCAGTAACTGTCAATAACTGTCAATAACTGTCAGTAACTGTCAGTAACTGTCAGTAACTGTCAATAACTGTCAGTAACAGTCAGTAACTGTCAGTAACTGTCAGTAACTGTCAGTAACAGTCAGTAACTGTCAGTAACTGTCAGTAACTGTCAATAACTGTCAGTAACTGTCAGTAACTGTCAATAACTGTCAGTAACTGTCAGTAACTGTCAATAACAGTCAGTAACAGTCAGTAACTGTCAATAACTGTCAATAACTGTCAGTAACTGTCAGTAACTGTCAGTAACTGTCAATAACTGTCAGTAACTGTCAGTAACTGTCAGTAACTGTCAGTAACAGTCAGTAACAGTCAGTAACTGTCAGTAACTGTCAGTAACTGTCAATAACTGTCAATAACTGTCAGTAACAGTCAATAACTGTCAGTAACTGTCAGTAACTGTCAGTAACTGTCAGTAACAGTCAGTAACAGTCAGTAACTGTCAGTAACTGTCAATAACTGTCAGTAACTGTCAGTAACTGTCAGTAACTGTCAATAACTGTCAATAACTGTCAGTAACAGTCAGTAACAGTCAGTAACTGTCAGTAACTGTCAGTAACTGTCAGTAACTGTCAGTAACAGTCAGTAACTGTCAATAACTGTCAGTAACTGTCAATAACTGTCAAAAACAGTCAGTAACTGTCAATAACTGTCAACCTAAGCTTCAGTCACTGACTGGGAGCCGGTCTCTCTCAGACCCAGTCCAGGTCTGTCTGTCCGGCCATCGACATGTACTCATCCAGCTGAGCGTCCAGGCGGCTCTTGGACATGGACATGTAGTCGTCCAGCTGTTTGTCCAACCTGCTCTTGGACATGGACATGTACTCATCCAGCTGTGCGTCCAGCTGCTTCCTGGTTGGTACGTTGTCTTTGCTCTGGCCCCGCCCCCTGGAGGCAGTGGCCCCGCCCCTCTGCAGGTGCAGACTGAGTTGTGTTTGTCCTGCAGGAGAAACCGAGACGTAAACAACCTGACAGACGGACATACGGACAGACAGAGCTCACATATTCACTGAATCTCCCGAAGACCTTCAAAATAAAAGCTGAGACAATGTTTGTGTGAGTGTGAGCTGATTGGCTGCCGCCATTAAACCACAGAAGAGGAACACATAGCGGAGGGACGAGTACGGTTGCGTTCTCAACTCCATACTTTTCAAGGTAATTGAATTACGTTGGTACAAAGTCAGAGCTAACACTTTAAAGCTTGTGGAATATATTTTCATATTGTGCTTTCAGCTGGATAATGTTAGCTAATATTAGCTCTGTATGTTACATATTTTATTGTCAGTTAAAACCAACACTGTTTGTCAGAATACATAACTTGGTATCAAGGATCTCACCCACAATGACAGCACACCACTTATCGCCTTTTATCAACACAGCAACTTTAACCTGAGACGAACAAACAGCTGGATGATTGTGTACTGAACGAGTCGGTTCTTTAAGTGAACAGTGAGAGCCGATGTCTCTGGTTCTTTTTAAATAAATTAATATAAGACAGGGTGATGTTCAATACACAAGTGTAATAGTTTATGGTGCCCGATTGATTAACTATTGATGATCTTCTGAAAGGAAACAAGGTGAGCAGATAAAGTAGTTTGTAAGTTAGAAATGATGTAATGGGACTTATTCTTCAGTATATTTTTAACTGATAAATGTAACTCCAGGATTTCAGTATCTGATTAATAATGTGGATATTTTTATGTAAAAGTAAAGCAGCGTTTGTGTTTGCACTAATTAGAAAACCTATTATTAGGGACCTCGCAAGCGACTGCTGGAGGTCCCTATTGTTTTTGCTTCGTTTCTTATTATTATTTTTAGCCCCTTTCGACTGCATTTTCCCCCCTCAATATATACGAAAACTCAATTTTATTTGGCAAAGTTGTCAGGCCTGGTGAAAAATTTGATATTCAATGCGTCTTTTTCGGGTCGGCCACTAGGTGGCGCTACTATTTAGGTAAGTATTTTCACTTTTTGGTTACTTAATAACTTTTGCATATTTTGTCGCACATTCAAAAAACCTATATCGACGCATTCGGTGAATGGAGCTGAATCTCTCCGTATAGGCCCCGCCCACTTTCGCCTATAATTTTTTTTCGTTAGAGCGCAAAATGTCCTTAAAGTACGTTTTCGTGTTCCTCCTACACGCTTTGTCCAATTCGCACAAAATTTTTCACCTAGCACCTGGGGACCGCCATGGCAAAAAATTTGAACCTTTTTGAAATTTCAAAAAATGAGTGCGCTATAAAATTAAGACTTCCTGTAGATTTTTCGTCAAAAAAGGAAGAGGACCATTTCTCAACATTGGTATGTCCGATTGACACCAGACTTGGGTCCATAGTTCCTCATGTCCTCCTTAGACACCGTGCACAATTTCAGACCATCACCACAAGGTGGCGCTCTTTAAAATGAAGAAGATTATACCTCTGCAACGGCACGTGTGATTAAAACGAAACTTGGTAGGATGCTTGCCCATGGCTCCCTGAGGCTCACCTAAATAGGAAAAAAAATCAGGCCACTGGGTGGCGCTCTGGTGGCAGGGTAAATCACTGTGCGGAGACCGTAATAGTTATGAATATGAAATTCACAGGGCACGTGTAGAGTAGTGCCTGAAGCTCACATACCAAAAATCGTGTTTGTCGTGTGTGTAGCGCCCCCCACAGGATAAAAAAAAAGGCAGCCCCGGCGCGACGTTTCACCGATATGTACTTAACTCAGTAGGCACGTGTAACATGCCGGGACGTACAAAAAAGCCTCTTGGACCCATACCCGAAACCCCACAGGAAGTCAGCCATTTTGATTTAAAGTTTCACTTTCGGCGAACTTTTCGCGTTGTATTTGAACAAACTCCTCCTAGGGAATTTATCGTATCTGCTTCGTGAGTACAGTCAAAAAATGGTGCTGATTAAAAGTTGTGCTATTTGTGCATGTACGTTGAAGGGCGTGTCCGTGGCGTTCCCTCAAAGTTGGCCAGGTTGAATCGAATGTCAAACTGTGATGCTATTTCCGGCCTTTAAGGGCTTCTGTTTTAACTAACTCCTCCTACAGATTTTATCAGATTGACTTCAAATTCGATCACTTCAATCTACACACATTGGTTATTAAAAGTTGTGCTATTTCTGACTGTATGTTTAACAGTGTGCCCGTGACGACGTGTCGAATTCCACCGATTGGCCATCAAACAGATAGTACTCATATCTTCAGTGTACAGTCCCACCCTGAACACGTCCTCATAACTTCAGCGTACATGATCCAATCTCAATGAAACTTCACATGTTTGATAACAGTCCCACCCTGAACACGTCTACATGACAATATTCAGACATAGTGATAGCGCCACATACTGGCAACAGGAAGTATCACGTTTTATACTTTCATGTTCTACTCCTCGCAGGATGATCAGATCCAGCTGAAATTTACTTATAAAATGCAAAACACATTGTTGATGATATGTGTTGACTGTGGTGAGGGGGCGTGTCTGTGGGGTGGCGGGAAATTTTGAAGGACCACCACAAAACACGAATTCGCTATAACTTGAGTGTACATTGTCCGATCGGCTCCACACTTCAAATGCTTGATAACAGTCCCGCCCTGAACACGTGTACATGACAATATTCAGACATAGTGATAGATTTGACAGTGAGGTTTTTGTTCCATATTATTAGCCAGAATAAATAAATGTACAGAAGGTTGATAATAATAATGGAGGCAGTTCATTGATTAACTGACCTGCTGTCACTTTCTGGATGTTCCTCTTCATTAGGACGCCCCGCTGACGCAGACTGAGCAGGTTCCCTCGTCCTGGACAGGAACACACACACACACACACACACACACACACACACACACAGCTCACTACGGCTCACTACGGCTCACTACGGCTCACTACGGCCAACTACGGCCAACTACAGCCAACTACAGCCAACTACAGCCACTACGGCCCACTACGGCCCACTACGGCCAATTACGGCCAACTACGGCCCACTACGGCCAATTACGGCCAACTACGGCCAACTACGGCTCATTACGGCTCATTACGGCTAACTACAGCTACAAAATCGTTCATCAAATCACTCTGAAAGTGATGTAACAATATCGTTCCCTGCTGCTGTCCTCACTGTGGTGGCAGACTTTAATGGATATATTTATAGTTATTGCTGAATATGAGTCTGTTACTGTTTCCAGCTGCCGGTTTTACTTCACTATGAAGGAAGTTAGCTGAGCCCTGATCAACCAAACTCCATTCAGAAAACAAGCATATTAAAAGTTGTTTGTTGGTTGTCTTCGAATAGACGGACAAAGTCTGAATCTCCATCATGATGTCGTTATTTCAGCATCATTTTGATCCGTTTACTGACATTAAATCACAGAAACAGCTGATTATTTCGCAGTGAGACAGATTAAAGGAACAATATTTACTCTCATGAGAAACGTGAGGTGAACATTCATCGTTAGGAGAATAATTTCTGTTATGATCTGGTGTTGTACAGATAAAACTGAATTAAAGGGTGAATACTGGCTTTCACAGTAATCTGATTACTCAGAGATTAATAAAGATGTCCTTCCTTCACAGTCCAGCAGCTGTACACGGGGTAGTGAAATAACTTCATCCAGTGCAGAGACACGGTAGAGACTTCAGTAACTTATTGATCGTGTGGTTGCAGTAATCTGATTACTCACTACTGGCGGTGGAGGTGAACCCTGCTCTCCATCTGTATTTGTTCCTGAAGCTCCAGAAGCCTTGGGGTCGCTGAGTCGCCCGCCGCCAGCCGAGTCGAGTCCAGACGCTCCTCCTCCGGCGCTGCCCTGCCCTCACAGACGGATCAGCAGTCTGGATCAGGACGAGTTTAAACAGAACCTTTAATGATCAATAACTAGCACACACTGTATGAAACACACACTGACTCAATCTGTACATTATTTGTAAATTATCTTTATATTATCTTTATATTATCTGTACATTATCTTTATATTATCTGTACATTATCTGTACATTATCTGTACATTATCTATATATTATCTTTACATTATCTGTACATTATCTGTACATTATCTGTACATTATCTGTATATCATCTGTACATTATCTGTACATTATCTGTACATTATCTTTATATTATATTATCTGCACATTATCTGTACATTATTTTTACATTATCTGTATATCATATTATCTGTACATTATCTGCAAATTATCTTTATATTATCTTTATCTTTATATTATAGTATCTGTACATTATCTGTACATTATCTTTATATTATCTGTACATTATCAGTATATTATCTGTATATTATATTATCTGTACATTATCTATATATTATCTTTACATTATCTGTACATTATCTGTACATTATCTGTACATTATCTGTACATCATCTGTATATCATCTGTATATCATCTGTACATTATCTGTATATCATCTATACATTATCTTTATATTATATTATCTGCACATTATCTGTACATTATTTGTATATTATCTGTATGTTATCTTTATATTATAGTATCTGTACATTATCTGTACATTATCTGTATATTATCTTTATATTATATTATCTTTATATTATCTGTACATTATCTATATTATCTTTACATTATCTGTATATTATCTGTACATTATCTTTACATTATCTGTACATTATCTGTATATTGTCTGTATATTATCTGTACATTATCTGTACATTATCTGTACATTATCTGTATATTATCTTTACATTATCTGTATATCATATTATCTGTAAATTATCTGTACATTATCTGTATATTATCTTTATATTATATTATCTGTACATTATCTGTACATTATCTGTATATTATCTTTATATTATACTGTACATTATCTGTACATTATCTTTATACTATCTTTATATTATAGTATCTGTACATTATCTGTATATTATCCGTAGTACATTATCTGCACATTATCTTTACATTATCTGTACATTATCCGCATATTATCTTCATATTAACTATATATTATCTTTATATCATCTGTACATTATCTGTACATTATCTTTATATTATCTGTATATCATCTGTACATTATCTGTACATTATCTGTATATTATCTTTACATTATCTGTATATCATATTATCTGTAAATTATCTGTACATTATCCGTATATTATCTTCATATTAACTATATATTATCTTTATATCATCTGTACATTATCTGTACATTATCTTTATATTATCTGTATATCATCTGTACATTATCTATACATTATCTTTACATTATCTTTATATCATCTGTACATTATCTGTATATTATCTTTATATTATCTGTACATTATCTATACATTATCTTTATATTATCGGCACATTATCTGTACATTTTCTTAACATTATAGTTTCTGTACATTATCTGTATATTATCTTTATATTATCTGTACATTATCTATATATTATTTGTATATTATCTGTACATTATCTTTATATTATCTGTATATTATCTTTATATTATCTGTATATTATCTGTACATTATTTGTATATTATCTGTATATTATCTTTACATTATCTGTACATTATCTGTATATTATATTATCTGTACATTATCTGTACATTGTCTTTACATTATCTGTATATCTGTACATTATCTTTATATTATCTTTACATTATCTGTATATCATCTGTACATTATCTTTATATTATCTGTACATTATCTTTATATTATCTTTATATTATCTGTATATCATCCGTACATTATCTATATGTTATCTTTATATTATAGTATCTGTACATTATCTGTATGTTATCTTTATATTATAGTATCTGTACATTATCTGTACATTATCTGTATATTATCTTTATATTATCTTTATATTATATTATCTTTATATTATCTGTACATTATCTATATTATCTTTACATTATCTTTACATTATCTGTATATTATCTGTACATTATCTTTACATTATCTGTACATTATATTATCTGTATGTTATCTGTACATTATCTGTATATTATCTGTACATTATCTGTACATTATCTATACATTATCTGTATATTATCTGTACATTATCTATACATTATCTGTATATTATCTGTACATTATCTATATATTATCTATATATTATCTGTACATTATCTGTATATCATCTGTACATTATCTGTACATTATCTGTATATTATCTGTACATTATATGTATAAATCAATATAAAGACTCACCTGTAGCGCGGGCAGCCAGGACGTCTCTCTCTTCACCAGCAGGACCACGGACGCAGCATTGCACATCCTCCTCCTCTGCTGCAGCAGGACGGGGTCAAAGGTCACCGTCCTGGAGCAGGTCAGAGGGTCTACCAGCACCTGAGAGAAGCTACAGAGAGACAATACAACTCTTACATAACGAGATTATTATTCAATCTGATCACATGATGCAAATGTTTTTATCTTGTTTTTCCAGATTTAGGATCAAATATTCCTTATTGATCCGCTGTAGGAGACACAGCAGTACAGAGGAGATATATATAGAGACAGAGAATACAAACTATTTTAAATATAGAATATGAATATTTAATTGATATTAAAAATCATTTATTATTATTATTATTATTATTATTATTATTATTACTACATTAGATATATTGCTGACTGCTAAATTCATCACACTAATTAGTCAATATTTGTATGACTCATTAATCAATTTTTATGTTTATAGAGGGAAATATATCTTAATTTCATTCAACCTTTTACTAAAAGACAACAAAATTACCTTGTAACCCATAATTAAATGTGATTTAATTAATTAAATCACTTAATTAACTAAATCACATTTAATTAACTATTCAACAGTGAAAATATCAGGACATTATGTTTTTACCACATCTCGCAGTTTTAAACTAAAAACACTCGCAGCTGCCAGAAACATTACAGAGTGTAATATGACATAATCAATGTTAATGATCCATAAATCTGTCTGTCTGTCTGTCTCACCGCTCATTCAGGGACAGTGCTGAGGTGCTCCTCAGGTAGAACTGCTCTGGTCTGGATGAATTCATCTGCTTCCTGTCGCTCATCCTGCTGGAACACACACACACACACACACACACACACACACACACGCACACACACGCACACACACACACACACACACGCACACACACGCACACACACACACACACACACACACACAAAGCTGAACCAAACTCCATTAATCTTCTGGCTGATTTAACGGAGACACACTGTTGCCTTCATTGCCGTCAGTACAGACACGATGAGTCCCGTTACTACTGTGTACCTGGAGGCTTCCGGTCATATCGGCTCATAATACAACAACACTAACAGCAGCAGCTGTCTCATTAACGGCCCGGTGCAGCTGATTATTAGTGATCAATAACTTCTGTTTTATGGTTCAAATGTCAGCCGAATTTTACAGATAATCCTAAAGATTAACTGGTGTTAAACTCTGATCCATAAAGTGTTTTCAAGTTGCCGATAAGCCATGAAACCTTTAATGCTCCACATTTTAACCGCGATTCTCTCCTCACTATAAATGTTATTAATGTTAGCTTCACATTGTGACCGGGACTTTATTTACTGGTTCAGGGAAAGAACATAGTTTACCTTTACTGCCGTCCGGACACACCTGTAGACACACCTGTAGACTACCTGTAGACTACCTGTAGACACACCTGTAGACTACCTGTAGACACACCTGTAGACTACCTGTAGACACACCTGTAGACTACCTGTAGACACACCTGTAGACTACCACAGCCTCAGGTGATCAACTGACCGCGATGCTAACAGCTAGCTACAGTTAGCTCTCCAACAGCGACGTTACTGTTTATTACTTATAAAGTTTATGAGCAGTTAAACTTATCTGCTATAAATAAACTCAAACTAACTTTAATTCACTTTATCTAATTACACAAGAGTAGTTAGTTAGTGGGAATCCACTCGGAAGGTCAAAGGTCAGCAACGCCGCAACTTAACGTACGATTTAAAAAAACTTTATTGAAAAGATATTTCTGGACAATTCAATCTTTATTTATAAATCCAGTTTTTCAGTATAAAATAAATCCAGTTTTTCAGTATAAAATAAATCCAGTTTTTCAGTATAAAATAAATCAGTTTTCAGTATAAAATCAGTTCATTATAAAAAACAGTTCAGAGAAATAAATCCAGTTTTCAGTATAAAATAAATCCAGTTTTTCATTATAAAATAAATCCAGTTTTTCAGTATAAAATAAATCCAGTTTTTCATATAAAATAAATCCAGTTTTTCAGTATAAAATAAATCCAGTTTTTCAGTATAAAATAAATCCAGTTTTTCAGTATAAAATAAATCCAGTTTTTCAGTATAAAATAAATCCAGTTTTTCAGTATAAAATACTGATTACAGAACTTCACAGCAACACAAACAAATAAACAAAGAAGTACATAAATATAAATATAAACAAACATAACAGGATAGCTTCATAAAGCAGAAATATTAAATATTAAATAAGTTATAGTTATGGTTCATTTTCTTGTTCTATTAGTTTTTAAATGTGAAAGTGAAAATATTTGTTCATATCTGTTTAAATGTAATTTAAGATTCTTAGAAACTTTCATTTTATTTATGTACAATTTAGTTAAGATAATGTTTTTAATTGATTTCATATTGTTCATTGCTGGATAAATTAGAATCTGTTAATATTAATAACCAATCATAGTTTCCCAAACATATATAACAAACATTTATTTAAAAATGTAAATTGTATACTTCATATACTTAAATTAATATATAAAAATGTACAACAAAGAAACTGATTGATGAACAATTAGAGTAAATTTAAAATCTAAATAAATCTATTTAATTAAGTTTTTTCCAATTTATGTTTTCAATCGTTTTAAAATCTCTAAAAGTATAAAAGGAGGTAAATAATAAATTATTATGAAAGTCTGAAAACAATTAAGACATAAGACCGCGTGATTATATAAATAAATATATTCATATTAATACACCTGTAATTGTAAATTGTATTATTCTATTTATATATAATTATAACCGTATGTAAAAGTGTCTCTTCACCACCAGGTGGCGCCAAAGTCAGTCTGTCAATCAGCCGGTAACCCGGGGCAACCCCACACACACACATAGAGGAGAGCTGTGATTGGCTGTCTCACACTCAACAGGAGTCACGCGCACAAACAAACTTTGAGACAGAAGGCAAGAAAGCGGCGGTGACGCGTTTCCGGTCATGACCTTCAGAATAAAAGCTTATGGTTTGTAAGTAGCTCATGCAGCTCGCTGTGATTGTGGAGCCGACATTTATTCACTTATTGATGATAATGAACTGTATTTATATTATATATTTATATTATATAAACTGTATTTATATTATATATTTATATTATATAAACTGTATTTATATTATATATTTATATTATATAAACTGTATTTATATTATATAAACTGTATTTATATTATGTATTTATATTATATAAACTGTATTTATATATTATATATATTGTATTTATATTATATATATTGTATTTATATATTATATATACTGTATTTATATTATATATATTGTATTTATATATTATATTTACTGTATTTATATTATATATATTGTATTTATATTGTGTATTTATATTATATAAACTGTATTTATATTATATATTATATTATATAAACTGTATTTATATATAAACTGTATTTATATTATGTATTTATATTATATATATTGTATTTATATATTATATATACTTTATTTATATTATATATTTATATTATATAAACTGTATTTATATATTATATATATTGTATTTATATATTATATATACTTTATTTATATTATATATTTATATTATATAAACTGTATTTATATTATATATATTATATTTATATATTATATTTACTGTATTTATATTATATATATTGTATTTATATTATATATTTATATTATATAAACTGTATTTATATTATGTGTTTATATTATATATATTATATTTATATATTATATATACTGTATTTATATTATATATATTGTATTTATATTGTGTATTTATATTATATAAACTGTATTTATATTATATATTATATTATATAAACTGTATTTATATTATATATTATATTATATAAACTGTATTTATATATAAACTGTATTTATATTATGTATTTATATTATATATATTGTATTTATATATTATATATACTGTATTTATATCATATATATTGTATTTATATATTATATATACTGTATTTATATTATATATTTATATTATATAAACTGTATTTACATTATGTATTTTTATTGTATTTATATATTATATATACTGTATTTATATTATATATATTGTATTTATATTGTGTATTTATATTATATAAACTGTATTTATATATAAACTGTATTTATATTATGTATTTATATTATATATATTGTATTTATATATTATATATACTGTATTTATATCATATATATTGTATTTATATATTATATATACTGTATTTATATTATATATTTATATTATATAAACTGTATTTATATTATGTATTTTTATTGTATTTATATATTATATATACTGTATTTATATATTATATATACTGTATTTGTATTGTGTATTTATATTATATATATTGTCTGTCTGTCTGTCTGTCTGTCTCTCTCTCTCTCTCTCTCTCTCTCTGTCTCTCTCTCTCTCACCCCAACTGGTCGAGACAGACGACCACCCACCTAGAGCCGGAGGATCTGTCCTAGGTTTCTGCCTTTTAACAGGCAGTGTTTCCTTGCCCTTGTCTCCAAGTTCTTGCTCATGGTGGTACTGTTGGGTCTCTGTAATTAATGTTTTAAAGAGTTCGGTCTAGACCTGCTCTATTTGAAAAGTGTCCTGAGATAACTTCTGTTATGAATTGGCGCTATACAAATAAAATTGAATTGAATTGAATTCATATTATGTATTAATATTATATATATTGTATTTATATTTATTCACTTTTTGATGATAATGAACTGTATTCATATTATATATTTATATTATATAAACTGTATTTATATTATATAAACTGTATTTATATTATATATACTGTATTTGTATTATATATTCCACCAGCATGTTAAGTGTGCTACAAGGGGAGATAACACCTTGGACAAGGTATACTCGAACATCAGACAGGGCTGCAGGGCAAGGCCACTACCACACCTGGGCCAGTCCGACCACTTGTCCTTGCTTTTAATCCCCACATATGCCCCCCTCAGGTAAACTGCTCCCACCATCACAAAGACTGTTGCCACATGGCCAGAGGGTGCCTCCCAGCAGCTACAGGACTGCTTTGAGAGGACCAACTGGGGGGTCTTTGAACATCAGGATCTGGAAGTGTTCACAGATAGTGTTCTGTGCTACATTAAGAACTGCATAGACACTGTCACAGTGGACAAACGCATCCGGGTCTACCCCAACCAAAAGCCCTGGATGACACAGGGAGTCCAGCAGCTGCTAAGGGAGAGGAACACCGCCTGGAGGTCTGGCAACAAAGAACTCTACAGCACAGCCCGAGCCAACCTGAAGAGGGGCATCAGAGAGGCTAAGGCAGACTACAGGAGGAGGATAGAGGACCACCTGAGCAGTAATAACAGCAGGCAAGTGTGGCAGGGAGTTCAGCATCTGACCAACTACAGATCCAACCTCGGAGCTGCTGATGGTGACCTCGCGCTGGCAGAGGAGCTGAACATCTTCTTTGCCCGCTTCAAGGTCACAGCACCAGAGATGGCACCACTACACAACTCGACACGCAGCAGCGTCAACCTCACAATTGAGGAGCATGAGGTGGGGCGCACGCTGCGGGCCGTCAACCCGAGGAAGGCGGCTGGTCCTGATGGCGTCCTGGGACGCGTGCTGATCAGCTGGCTGGAATCTTCACAAAGATCTTCAACCAGTCCCTAAAACAGTCCACTGTCCCACCCTGCCTGAAATCCTCAACCATAGTCCCACTGCCCAAGAAACCTCACATCTCTAGCCTCAACGACTACAGACCAGTAGCACTCACCCCAGTGGTGATGAAGTGCTTTGGGAAACTGGTCCGTAGTCACATCACAGCTGCCCTGCCCTGCAGCCTTTATCCCCACCAGTTCCTACAGAGCGAACCGATCTACAGAAGACGCCATATCCATAGCACTACATACTGCACTATCACACCTGGAGCAGCAGGGGAGCTATGTGCGGATGCTCTTTGTGGATGCATTCAACACCATCCTCCCTCACAGGCTAGTAGTCAAACTGGGGCACCTGGGGCTTCCACACACCATCTGCATGTGGATCAATAGCTTCCTCTCCGACCGCAGACAGAGGGTCAGAGTGGGCCATCACACATCAACGGCCTCAGTACCGGCTCTCCCCAGGACTGTGTGCTGAGTCCCTGCTCTACTCCCTCTACACACACGGCTGCTCCCCCTTTCCATCACAGCAACACCATGGTGAAGTTTGCGGATGACACCACAGTGGTGGGGCTCATCTCCAGGGGGTAGGGCGAGTCTGCCTACAGAGATGAGGTGGCGCAGCCGTCAACATGGTGCAGGGACAACAACCTGCTCCTCAACACCTCAAAGACCAAAGAACTCATCATAGACTACAGGAGAAACAAAACAGAGATCCCACCACTAATCATCAGCGGGGACTGTGTGGAGAGGGTGGCAGACTGCTGCTTCCTGGGAGTCCATATTGAGGAGGACCTTTCCTGGAGTGTGAACAGCAGACTGTACTTTCTGAGAATACTCAGGAGGAATAACATCACACAAAGACTGCTGGTGTCCTTTTACCGTGCCTCCATTGAGAGCATACTAACATAATGCATATGCGTATGGTACACCAGCTGCACATCGGCTCAGAGGAAAGTGCTCCAGAGGGTCATCAACACCGCTCAAAAGATTGTCGGCTGCCCTCTCCCCACACTGGAAGAACTACACAGTTCCAGTTGCCTTAAAAAAGCCCAGAACATTATAAAGGACACCCACCATCCTGGTCACTCCCTGTTTGAACTGTTGCCTTCAGCAAGGCGGTACCGATCATTTTAAGCAAGGACAAATAGACTCAAACACAGTTTTTATCCAACTGGAGTAACTACCCTCAATGCTGCAAAAAGTTTTTTTATTTTATTAACACTAGCACTTAAATTATTAATTTATTATTTTTTAAAGTTATGCTAAATTAAGCACTGATCGGAGAGCACTTTAAATTTCATTGTACCTGTGACAATGACAATAAAGATCTATTCTATATATTTATATACTATATTTATATTATATAAACTGTATTTATATTATATAAACTGTATTATATTATATATTTATAGTATATATACTGTATTATATTTTATATTTATATTATATAAACTGTATTTATATTATATAAACTATATTTATATTCCGCTACATGTGCTCTTATTTTATAAAGTGCAAAAGTCGCCTGAACTTCCTGTTTTGTCTGGGTCCCCCCCACCCCCCTCCCTACACTGACTCTAAGTGAGTGTGCACACAGACAGACAGACAGACAGACAGACAGTCTGGATCACACGGAGCCAGACGGACAGACAGCCGGTCTCACCGACACAGGCAGCGGATCGGACCCGACCGGAAAGAGCCGAGTCCCGGTGAGTGTTCCTGAGTCCGGTTACTGTATACCTGTTGATCTGTGTGTGTGTCTGTGTGTGTGTGTGTGTGTGTGTGTGTGTGTGTGTGTGTGTGTCTGTGTGTGTGTGTGTGTGTGTCTGAGTGTGTGTGTGTGTGTGTGTGTGTGTCTGTGTGTGTGTGTGTGTGTGTGTGTCTGTGTCTGTGTGTGTGTGTGTGTGTGTGTGTGTGTGTGTGTGTGTGTGTGTGTGTGTGTGTGTGTGTGTGTGTGTGTGTGTCTGTGTGTGTGTGTGTGTGTGTGTGTGTGTGTGTGTGTCTGTGTGTGTGTGTGTGTGTGTGTGTGTGTGTCTGAGTGTGTGTTATAACATTATAATGTTAATAATAAATTATAACATTATAATGTTATAATTTATTATTAATCAATTATTATTAATAATTAATAATAATAATTAATTATCATTAATTATTATTATAACATTATAATGTTATAATAATAATAAAATATAAATAATTATTATTAATAATAAATTATAACATTATAATGTTATAATTAATTATTATTAATAATTAATTATTATTAATAATAAATTTATAACATTATAATGTTATAACGTAACAGATCATATCATTCCTTTATGCTATTTAATTAGCACTGTTAGCTGTAGTCAGAGCTAACAGTGCTAACAGTGCTAACCAGCCTCGACTCTCTCCAGGTGACCATGTCGGTGCTCGCCCCGCCCCCCAGCAGCAGCGCCGACGCCTGCCTCAGCATCGTCCACAGCCTCATGTGCCACCGGCAGGGCGCCGAGAACGAAGGCTTCGCCAAACGGGCCATCGAGAGTCTGGTGAAGAAGCTGAAGGAGAAGAAGGACGAGCTGGACTCGCTCATCACCGCCGTCACCACCAACGGCGTCCATCCAAGCAAGTGTGTGACCATCCAGAGGACGCTGGACGGAAGGCTGCAGGTACGCTCAGAGCCCGACACAGGTGGTACACAGGTGGTACACAGGTACAGGTGGTACACAGGTGGTACACAGGTACAGGTGGTACACAGGTACAGGTGGTACACAGGTACAGGTGGTACACAGGTGGTACACAGGTACAGGTGGTACACAGGTGGTACACAGGTACAGGTGGTACACAGGTACACAGGTACAGGTGGTACACAGGTACATGTGGTACACAGGTACACAGGTGGTACACAGGTGGTACACAGGTGGTACACAGGTACAGGTGGTACACAGGTACACAGGTGGTACACAGGTGGTACACAGGTACAGGTGGTACACAGGTACAGGTGGTACACAGGTACACAGGTACAGGTGGTACACAGGTACATGTGGTACACAGGTACACAGGTGGTACACAGGTACACAGGTGGTACACAGGTGGTACACAGGTACAGGTGGTACACAGGTACACAGGTGGTACACAGGTGGTACACAGGTACACAGGTGGTACACAGGTGGTACACAGGTACAGGTGGTACACAGGTACACAGGTGGTACACAGGTGGTACACAGGTACAGGTGGTACACAGGTGGTACACAGGTACAGGTGGTACACAGGTACAATTCAATTCAATTCAATTTTATTTGTATAGCGCCAATTCATAACAGAAGTTATCTCAGGACACTTTTCAAATAGAGCAGGTCTAGACCGAACTCTTTAACATTAATTACAGAGACCCAACAGTACCACCATGAGCAAGACCTTGGAGACAAGGGCAAGGGAAAAACTGCCTGTTAAAAGGCAGAAACCTAGGACAGATCCTCCGGCTCTAGGTGGGTGGTCGTCTGTCTCGACCAGTTGGGGTGAGAGAGAGAGAGAGAGAGAGAGAGAGAGAGAGAGAGAGAGAGAGAGAGAGAGCGACAGACAGACAGACAGGTGCACAGCAACAACAGTATTGGCAATGGCAGTCAAGCAGGACCATGGCAGGAGGCTCCACCAGGATCCATGAGAACCTGCGAGACGAGAAAGCACAAGAACTCCGGGGAAGAAGTGGAGTTAGTAACATGCATTAAAGGGACATGAATGAGTGCAGAAAGAGAGAGGAAGAGAGTAGCTCAGTGCACCATGGGAAATCCCCCGATAGTCTAGGCCTATAGCAGCATAACTAAGGGATGGTTCAGGACTCACCTGATCCAGCCCTAACTATAAGCTTTATCAAAGAGGAATGTCTTAAGCCTACTCTTGAATGTGGTGAGGGTGTCTGCCTCCCGAACCACAACTGGAAGCTGGTTCCACAGGAGAGGAGCTTGGTAACTGAAGGCTCTGGCTCCTGTTCTACTTTTTAGAGACTATAGGAACCACAAGTAGCCCAGCATTCAGAGAACGTAGTGTTCTAGTGGGGTAATAGGGTACTATGAGCTCTTTAAGATATGAAGGGGCCTGACCATGAAGAGCTTTATAGGTGAGGAGGAGGATTTTAAATTCAATTCTACATTTTATAGGGAGCCAATGCAGAGTAGCTAGTACAGGAGAGATGTGATCTCTTTTTCTAGTTCCTGTCAGTACTCGTGCTGCAGCGTTCTGAATTAATTGGAGCGTTTTAATGGACTTATTGGGGCAACCTGATAATAAAGAGTTGCAGTAATCCAGCCTTGAAGTAACAAATGCATGGATTAGTTTTTCTGCATCTGTCTGTGATAGTATGTGTCTAATTTTTCTAATATTACGTAAATGAAAGAAGGCAGTCCTAGAGGTCTGCTTTATGTGGGAGTTAAATGACAAATCCTGATCAAAGATAACTCCAAGATTCCTGACAGTGGTGCTAGAGGCCAAGTTAATGCCATCTAGAGTGACTATATCTTTAGACAATGAGTCTCTAAGGTTTTTGGGGCCAAGAACAAGAATTTCGGTTTTTTTCTGAGTTTAACATCAGAAAATTGCAGGTCATCCAGGATTTTATGTCCTTAAGACATGTTTGTAATTTAGATAATTGATTAATTTCATTGGGTTTGATTGATAGATATAACTGCGTATCATCTGCATAACAGTGAAAGTTAATGGAGTGATTCCTAATAATGTTGCCTAAAGGGAGCATATATAAAGTAAATAGTATTGGTCCAAGTACAGAACCTTGTGGAACTCCATGACTAACTTTAGTATTTATGGAGGATTCATCGTTAACATGTACAAACTGAGAACGATCTGATAAGTATGACTTAAACCAGGTTAGGGCAGTTCCTTTAATGCCAATTTGATGCTCAAGTCTCTGTAAAAGAATATCATGGTCAATGGTGTCAAATGCAGCACTAAGATCTAATAATACAAGTACAGAGACAAGTCCATTGTCAGAAGCAGTCAGAAGGTCATTATTAACTTTAACCAGAGCTGTCTCTGTGCTATGATGAACTCTAAATCCTGACTGAAAATCCTCAAATAAACTATTGTTATGTAGAAAGTCACACAACTCTTTGGCGACTACTTTCTCCAGAATCTTAGAGAGGAACGGGAGGTTAGAAATCGGTCTATAGTTGGCTAAAACCCCTGGGTCAAGAGTAGACTTTTTAAGAAGGGGTTTAATTACAGCTACTTTAAAGGACTGTGGTACATATCCTGATAATAAAGAAAGATTAATCATATCCAGTAAAGAAGTGCCAATTAAGGGAACAACTTCTTTAAGCAGCCTAGTTGGGATCGGGTCTAACAGACAGGTTGATGGCTTCGATGAAGAAATTATTGAAGTTAACTGATGAAGATCGATAGCAGAAAAACAGTCTAAATATATATCTAAGTTTACATTGACAGAAGTCCCTGAACTTGGAGAGCCACTGATAACTGTTGATGGCAGTTGGTGATTAATTTTCTCTCTAATAGTAATAATTTTATTATAGAAGAAGCTCATGAAGTCATTGCTACTTAAGTTTATGGGGATATGTGGCTCAATAGAGCTGTGACTCTCTGTCAGCCTGGCTACAGTGCTGAAGAGGAACCTAGGGTTGTTCTTATTTTCTTCTATTAGTGCTGAGTAATAGGCTCCTCTGGCATTACGGAGGGCCTTTCTATAAGTTTTAAGATTATCTTGCCAATTTGAGCGATATTCTGATAATTTGGAAGAGCGCCATTTCCTTTCAGATTTCCTAGCTATTTGCTTTAACTGGCGGGTTTGGTGGTTATACCAAGGTGCTAGTCTCCTATGTTTTAATAATTTCCTTTTTATAGGAGCGATAGAGTCTAATGTTGATCGTAGTGAGCCTGTAGCACTATCGACAAGATTATCAATTTCAGAGGGACTAAAGTTGTTATAGGACTCTGTTAAATTCAGACATGGCATTGAATTAAACACTGAAGGAATCTCCTCCTTAAATTTAGCTACAGCACTGTCAGATAGACATCTGCTGTAGGAAGTTTTGCCTAATGGCTTATAATCTAATAGTATGAATTCAAAAGTTATTAAATAATGGTCAGATAGGAAAGGATTATGTGGGAAGACTATTAAATGTTCAATATCAATGCCATATGATAAAACAAGGTCAAGAGTGTGATTAAAACAATGAGTTGGTTTATTTACACTCTGACAGAAGCCAATTGAGTCTATTAATGATATAAATGCGTTACTAAGGCTGTCATTGTTAACATCCACATGAATATTAAAATCACCTACAATAATTACTTTATCTGATTTAAGGACTAAACTTGATAAAAACTCTGAAAATTCAGATATAAAATCAGAGTACGGTCCAGGAGCGCGGTACACTATAACAAATAGAACTGGCTGCAGTGTTTTCCAGTTTGGGTGAGAAAGACTAAGAACAAGGCTTTCAAATGAATTATAATTTAGTTTAGGTTTAGGGTCCATTAAAACGCTCGAATCATATATAGCTGCTACTCCACCTCCTCGGCCTGTGCCTCGAGGAATGTGAGTATTAATATGACTGGGGGGTGGATTCATTTAGGCTAACATACTCCTCGTGGGACAACCAGGTCTCAGTAAGACAAAGTAAATCAATATCATAATCTGATATTAATTCATTCACTAAAACAGCTTTAGAGGACAGAGACCTGATATTTAACAGCCCACATTTCATTCTCTTATTTTGTGCTACTGAGGAGTTGGTTTTAATTTTTATTAGATTTTTATGTACACAGGTGGTACACAGGTACAGGTGGTACACAGGTGGTACACAGGTACAGGTGGTACACAGGTACACAGGTGGTACACAGGTACACAACACTGAAGTACTCCAGTACAAATAGGATCTTAGATATGCTATGCTAGGCTAATGTGTTAACTAATATACGTCTATATGTCAACATAGATTAGCCTAGCATGTAGCATATCCAAGTACAGGAAAGGAGGAAGTTGACCAATGCTAGCTCAACTGTGATTGGAGCACAGAGCAAAAGGGGGCGGGGCTTAGAGAGAGTCAATCTGCTGTCAACCAGAATGAAGTTTTCCTTCCGTTATCTAGAGATTCATTCAGAGCTGCAATCATTAATCAATAATCTATATTAATAATCCATTGATTGATTCAGAATCTGTTTGGGTGTCTGTAAAGTTGTGAAAGTATAAACGTAACAGTGAACATAAAGTAAACATGGATCACCTCGAGAACCACTAGCACCTGTTCAACAGTCTCCTCAGAAACACCTGGATCCTCCTCTAGAACCCGGGTACACCCAAAGAACCTCCCTAAGTGCGTCCGGCTGCTCCATAAGAACCATTTGAACCAGCTCAAGAACCCCAGACCCTTCTCAAGGAACTGCACCTCTTTGAAGACTACCTGAACCCCCCGAAAGAATCCCCAAAACACTCAGGAACCATAGAACCTCTCAGAGGAATACAGGACTACCCCTTGAACCTTGTCAGGTTCCTCTGCTGTATTCTGAAGAACCTTGGTTCTGTTGGATCTTCTATGACCCTCTGAAACCTTCTCAAGAACCTTCTTGATGGACGTTTGATCAATAACGCTAGAACCTCTCTGAGAGCCCCTGGAACTCATGCAGACCCTGAAAGAACCTGAAGAACCTTGTTAGATTCCTCTGCAGCAGCTATTATATCAGAATACACTGTACCTTTATTGATTATTGATCAGAATACACTGTATCTTTATTGATTATTGATCAGAATACACTGTATCTTTATTGATTATTGATCAGAATACACTGTATCTTTATGGATGATATTGATCAGTATACAAAGTATCTTTATGGATGATATTGATCAGTATACACTGTATCTTTATTGATTATTGATCAGTATACACTGTATCTTTATGGATGATATTGATCAGTATACACTGTATCTTTATGGATTATTGATCAGTATACACTGTATCTTTATGGATGATATTGATCAGTGTACACTGTATCTTTATGGATGATATTGATCAGTATACACTGTATCTTTATGGATTATTGATCAGTATACACTGTATCTTTATGGATGATATTGATCAGTGTACACTGTATCTTTATGGATGATATTGATCAGTATACACTTTATCTGTATGGATGATATTGATCAGTATACACTGTATCTTTATGGATGATATTGATCCTGTATTGACAGTCAGACTGTGGACATATGACGGCCTTTAGCTCGTGTTTCTAGAGTTACGTGTTGTTACGAACACGTTAGGAATTGTTAAAATGTGATATTTCTTAAAGGGAGTTTGGTGCAGGGAGCTTTTAGTTGGATTCAAACTGCTGATATGGATCATTGTTAACGTTTAGGGTTAAAGGCTGATAAAGATTGTCTGATGGTATTAGAAGAAGAAGAAGAAGAAGAAGAAGAAGAAGAAGATATACTTCATTAATCTCCGAGGGGAAATTGTTATTTTCGTTCTTTTTTTTAATACACACACACGCTGAAATACACACTTTTCACACTTTTCTGTGGGACTTGAACCGACGACCCTCCGGTTCCCAAGTCCCTACACACTGAGCTATTGCCGCCCATTAGTTTGATTAATGCTTTAATAATCTGTGTATTGATTACTGATCAGGCTGGTCAGGATCATTACCAGCCCCAGTGCAGACTGTTTTAGTGGATCAAAGGAACTTATAAAACTTCCTAAAGCATCTGAAGACACATTCAAACAGTCACACAGAGAGAGATACAACAGCAGACTGAGAGTGAGGAGGAGGAGGAGGAGGAGGAGGAGGAGGAAGGGCAGCCTGGCTTGTTTTGTCTGAGACACAGGAAAGGGGCTGGGTTAAGTTAAGCCAGACAGTGTGTGTGTGTGTGTGTGTGTGTGCAGACAGACGGGAATGTGTACACGTCTAGAGTTTGTGTTTGGAGCTCATACCACAGTTTCTACACTGTAAAACAACACACATCACGTCCTGACATGTTCTCACTAACTAGTTTAAACATCTTCAATCAATAATCTATAATCAATACACAGTGTATAAACTCTAGAGCTATGTTCTATATGGAGTTGAGTTGTGTTCTTACATTATCTGTCCTTTTATTCAGGTAACGCTGCGTTTCACCTGTCAATAATCTATAATCAGTGGCGTCATATAGCGGACCTGTTAGCTTTAGCCTCAGTCAGCTGTCCAATCAGGAGCAATCAGCTATATAAACAGGAAGTAGCTCTTTTTGTTCTCTGCTGGTTTCTGGTTCCAGACCCAGAAGATGAAGATGATGTTTTTTACAGTGTGTGTGTGTGTGTGTGTGTGTGTGTGTGTGTGTGTGTGTGTGTGTGTGTGTGTGTGTTTTGTCTGCAGTCTTATCCCTGCCCTTCACCTGTGCACACAGAACACACTCTGCTCTGATTGGCTGCTTCACCGTGTGCACTGTAACAACAGACACTTTCACCTGTTTATGACACATATTGATCAGAGTACAGTGTATCTTTATTGATTATTGATCAGTATACACTGTATCTTTATTGATTATTGATCAGTATACACTGTATCTTTATTGATTATTGATCAGTATACACTGTGTCTTTATGGATGATATTGATCCTCCTCCAGCAGGTGTCACAGTTGGTTCAGTAGCTTCTGATCAGCAGTTCCTATTGATTGCGTTTTAGTGTTATTTCATATTGAAACTGAAACATGATTCAATCAATGTTTCAGTTTCAATATGAAATATAATATATATATAATATATATAATATATCAATCAATAAGCTGTAAACTGTTAAAACTACAGAAGGAGGATATTTTTACAGTGTGCTGAGCTCTGACTGTCTCACACACACACCAGGGGTCAGACATGATGTCATGGACGTGGTTTGGTGAGACGGGTGCATCACCTGGTACACACACACACACACACACACACACACACACACACACACACACACACACACAGAGTGTTTCCGTGGTAACTTCTGCTCACCATGACTCAGTTTGTTCTCACAGAGTTTATTTAAATTTCCATGAAGGATGTTTCCTTACTGTCTGTCTGTCTGTGTGTGTGTCTGTCTGTCTGTGTGTCTGTCTGTCTGTCTGTCTGTCTGTCTGTCTGTCTGTCTGTCTGTCTGTCTGTCTGTCTGTGTGTCTGTGACCTGTCTGTGTGCAGGTGGCGGGTAGGAAGGGTTTCCCTCACGTGATCTACGCCCGTCTGTGGCGTTGGCCCGACCTCCATAAGAACGAGCTCAAACATGTGAAGTTCTGTCAGTTTGCCTTCGACCTGAAGTACGACAGCGTGTGTGTGAACCCGTACCACTACGAGAGGGTGGCGTCCCCCGCCACAGCAGGTAAACACACCTGTACACACTGTAATAACACATGGGTGGACACAAGATGGCGTCGCACGTCTGATTGGTTAACATGTTAGCATGTTTTTATTTAGATTTAGTTTGCTAACATTTATGTATTTTCTTTACTCTTTATTAAACTAAAGAACACGTTTGTATTGCCACATTGCATTATGGGCCGTGTCTGCTAACGTTGGCACAGTAGTATAAAATATTAGCAAACTAATATTAGCTTGCTGCTTAATTAGCATGCTAACAACAAGTAGCACATTAGGCTAATTGGAGTGAAGGAGAAGAAGTAGTGGACTCGGTTCTGTTTGTGCTGCTGAATTTCACCTCACGGGATCAATAAAGGATCAATAAAGGATCAATAAAGGATCAATGAAGGATCAATAAAGGATCAATAAAGGATCAATAAAGAATCAATAAAGGATCAATAAAGAATCAATAAAGGATCAATGAAGGATCAATAAAGGATCAATAAAGGATCAATGAAGGATCAATAAAGGATCAGTAAAGGATCAATAAAGAATCAATAAAGGATCAATGAAGGATCAATAAAGGATCAATAAAGGATCAATAAAGGATCAATAAAGGATCAATAAAGGATCAATAAAGGATCAATAAAGGGTCAATAAAGGGTCAATGAAGGGTCAATGAAGGGTCAATAAAGGATCAATAAAGGATCAATGAAGGATCAATAAAGGATCAAAAAAGGATCAATAAAGGGTCAATGAAGGGTCAATGAAGGGTCAATAAAGGATCAATAAAGGATCAATGAAGGATCAATAAAGGATCAATAAAGGGTCAATAAAGGATCAATAAAGGATCAATAAAGGATCAATAAAGGGTCAATAAAGGATCAATAAAGGGTCAATAAAGGATCAATAAAGGGTCAATAAAGGGTCAATAAAGAATCAATAAAGGATCAATAAAGGATCAATAAAGAATCAATAAAGGATCAATAAAGAATCAATAAAGGATCAATAAAGGATCAATAAAGAATCAATAAAGGGTCAATAAAGGATCAATAAAGGATCAATAAAGGATCAATAAAGAATCAATAAAGGATCAATAAAGGATCAATAAAGAATCAATAAAGGGTCAATAAAGAATCAATAAAGGATCAATAAAGGGTCAATAAAATGTCTGATCCTGCCCCTGTCTTCCTTCAGGTCCTCAGTCTCTGATAAAGGAGGAGTTCATGCAGGACTGTCTGCAGATCGACCTGCCCCCCCACTCTGACCCCTACAGCCAGCCCCGCCCTGTCAGCATGTATCCCAGCATGCCCCTCTCTCCTCCAGGTAGAACTGTTTTATGTCACATCCTCCATAAACCTGATTATTGATCAGATCCTGAATTATCTGACTGTCCTGAGATCAGAGCTGACACAGAGTGGACGGAGTTCACTTCCATCAGAGGGGGGCGGTCCAGCTGCTCAGCTACCTTATATCTGTGTGTCTCCTGTAGGCAGCAGTTCCCTGGCGGCCGCCGCTGGGGATTGTGGGAGGAACGCGGTAGGCAGTGACGGTCCCGGCCTCCTTCAGATTGCCCCCCCTCAGAACCATGGGGGCCACGCCTCTCCACCTCATCCCAACCCTCCCCTCACTCCCCAGCCTCCTCACCCCTCCACCCCCACCTCCCCACAGCAACAGAGCCCCCCCAACACCGGTACTGTACCTGTACTGGTGCTGAATACTGAATGTGTACATGAGTACAATGAATAATTAGAGTAATTAGAGTAATAACTATAGTAATAATAATAATTATAGTAATAATAATAATAGTAATAATAATAATAATAGTAATACTAATAAGAGTAATAATTATAGCAATAATAGTAATACTAATAAGAGTAATAATTATAGCAATAATAGTAATAGTAATAATAATAATAATAGTAAAAAGAGTGATAATTATAGCAATAATAGTAATAGTAATAATAATAATAATAGTAATAGTAATAAGAGTAATAATTATAGTAATAATAATAATAGTAATAATAATAATAATAGTGATACAATAGGTAATATTACAATAATAGTAATAGTAATAAGGTAAAATTATAGTAATAATAATAATAGTAATAATAATAATAAAGTAATACAATAAGGTAATAATTAAGTAAAATAATAAGTAAAAGAAAGTAATAATAATAATAATAGTAATACTAATAAGAGTAATAATTATAGCAATAATAGTAATAGTAATAAGAGTAATAATTATAGTAATAATAATAATAGTAATAATAATAATAATAGTAATACTAATAAGAGTAATAATTATAGTAATAATAATAATAGTAATAATAATAGTAATAAGAGTAATAATTATAGTAATAATAGTAATAGTAATAATAATAATAATAGTAATACTAATAAGAGTAATAATTATAGCAATAATAGTAATAAGAGCAATAATTATAGTAATAAGAGTAATAATAATAATAATAATAGTAATAGTAATAAGAGTAATATTTATAGTAATAATAAGAGTAATAATTATAGTAATAATAATAATAGTAATAAGAGTAATAAGAGTAATAATTATAGTAATAATAGTAAAAGTAATAGTAATAATAATAATAATAATAGTAATACTAATAAGAGTAATAATTATAGCAATAATAGTAATAAGAGCAATAATTATAGTAATAAGAGTAATAATCATAATAATAATAATAATAATAATAATAGTAATAGTAATAAGAGTAATAATTATAGTAATAATAAGAGTAATAATTATAGTAATAATAGTAATAGTAAAAAGAGTAATAATAATAATAATAATAGTAATAGTAATAGAGTAATAATTATAGTAATAATAGTAATAACAGCAATAATTATAGTAATAAGAGCAATAATTATAGTAATAAGAGTAATAATAATAATAATAATAAGAAGAAGAATAATAATAACAATAATAGTAATAATAATAATAATAGTTAAATAATAGTAATAATAGTAATAATAATAATAATAATAAGAGTAATAATAACAGTTATAATAGTAATAATAATAATAATAATAATAAGAGTAATAATAATAATAATAGTAATAGTAATAGTAATAAGAGTAATAATTATAGTAATAATAGTAATAATAATAATAATAATAGTAATAGTAATAAGAGTAATAATTATAGTAATAATAGTAATAATAATAATAATAATAATAATAATAAGTAATAAGAGTAATAATTATACTAATAATAGTAATAGTAATAATAATAATAATAGTAATAATAATAGTAATAGTAACAAGAGTAATAATTATAGTAATAATAGTAATAGTAATAAGTTATAATAATAATAATAATAGTAATAGTAATAAGAGTAATAATTATAGTAATAATAGTAATAATAATATAATCATAATAATAGTAATAGTAATAAGAGTAATAATAATGATAAGAATAGTAATAATAATAAGAAGAAGAATAATAACAATAATAGTAATAATAATAATAATAGTAATAATAGTAATAATAATAATAATAATAATAATAAGAGTAATAATAACAGTAATAATAGTAATAATAATAATAATAATAAGAGTAATAATAATAATAATAATAATAATAATAATAATAATAATAATAATAGTAATAATAATAATAATAGTAATAATAATAAGAGTAATAATAGTAGTAGTAGGATCAGAAGTAGTAATACTAGTGATATTAGACAGATTCTTTAACTGTGTCCTGTGTGTCTCTGCAGCTACCTGGCCAGGTAATAGCCCCGCCCCCTACAGCCCTGCAGGACCCCATCAGAGTGGGCGGAGCCACCAGCAGCCTCCATTACATCATCACCACCACGCCCCCAATACTCACTTCTGTATGACATCACACTGTAGTACTTTACTGTAATACTTTACTCTAGTACTTTACTGTAGTACTTTACTGTAGTACTTTACTCTAGTACTTTACTCTAGTACTTTACTGTAGTACTTTACTGTAATACTTTACTCTAGTACTTTACTGTAGTACTTTACTGTAGTACTTTACTGTAGTACTTTACTGTAGTACTTTACTGTAGTACTTTACTCTAGTACTTTACTGTAGTACTTTACTCTAGTACTTTACTGTAATACTTTACTCTAGTAATACTTTACTGTAGTACTACTTTACTTACTGTAATACTTTACTTTACTGTAGTACTTTACTGTAGTACTTTACTGTAGTACTTTACTGTAGTACTTTACTGTAGTACTTTACTGTAGTACTTTACTGTAGTACTTTACTGTAATACTTTACTGTAGTACTTTACTCTAGTACTTTACTGTAGTACTTTACTGTAATACTTTACTGTAATACTTTACTGTAGTACTTTACTGTAGTACTTTACTGTAGTACTTTACTGTAGTACTTTACTGTAGTACTTTACTGTAATACTTTACTGTAGTACTTTACTGTAATACTTTACTGTAGTACTTTACTGTAGTACTTTACTGTAATACTTTACTGTAGTACTTTACTGTAATAATTTACTGTAGTACTTTACTGTAATACTTTATTGTAGTACTTTACTGTAGTACTTTATTGTAATACTTTACTGTAATACTTTACTCTAGTACTTTACTGTAATACTTTACTGTAGTACTTTACTGTAATACTTTACTGTAGTACTTTACTGTAATACTTTAATACTTTACTGTAGTACTTTACTGTAATACTTTACTCTAGTACTTTACTGTAATAATTTCCTGTAATACTTTACTCTAGTACTTTACTGTAATACTTTACTGTAGTACTTTACTGTAGTACTTTACTCTAGTACTTTACTGTAATACTTTACTCTAGTACTTTACTGTAGTACTTTACTGTAGTACTTTACTGTAATACTTTACTCTAGTACTTTACTCTTGTACTTTACTGTAATACTTTACTCTAGTACTTTACTGTAGTACTTTACTGTAATACTTTACTCTAGTACTTTACTGTAGTACTTTATTGTAGTACTTTACTCTAGTACTTTACTGTAATACTTTACTGTAATACTTTACTGTAATACTTTACTCTAGTACTTTACTGTAATACTTTACTGTAATACTTTACTCTAGTACTTTATTGTAGTACTTTACTGTAGTACTTTACTGTAGTACTTTATTGTAATACTTTACTGTAGTACTTTACTGTAGTACTTTATTGTAATACTTTACTGTAGTACTTTACTGTAATACTTTACTGTAGTACTTTACTGTAATACTTTACTCTAGTACTTTACTGTAGTACTTTACTGTAATACTTTACTCTAGTACTTTACTGTAATAATTTCCTGTAATACTTTACTCTAGTACTTTACTGTAATACTTTACTGTAGTACTTTACTGTAGTACTTTACTGTAGTACTTTACTGTAGTACTTTATTGTAGTACTTTGCTGTAGTACTTTACTGTAGTACTTTACTGTAATACTTTACTCTAGTACTTTACTGTAGTACTTTATTGTAGTACTTTACTCTAGTACTTTACTGTAGTACGTTACTGTAATACTTTACTCTAGTACTTTATTGTAGTACTTTATTGTAGTACTTTACTCTAGTACTTTACTGTAGTACTTTACTGTAATACTTTACTCTAGTACTTTACTATAGTACTTTATTGTAGTACTTTGCTGTAGTACTTTACTGTAGTACTTTACTGTAATACTTTACTCTAGTACTTTACTGTAATAATTTACTGTAATACTTTACTGTAATACTTTACTGTAGTACTTTACTGTAGTACTTTACTGTAGTACTTTACTGTAGTACTTTACTTACTTTACTTAGTACTTTACTGTAGTACTTTACTGTACTTTACTGTAATACTTTACTCTAGTACTTTACTGTAATACTTTACTGTAATACTTTACTGCAATACTTTACTGTAGTACTTTACTGTACTTTACTGTAATACTTTACTGTATTTACTTAGTACTGTAGTACTTTACTGTAATACTTTACTGTATACTTTACTGTACTTTACTGTAGTACTTTACTGTAGTACTTTACTGTAATACTTTACTGTAGTACTTTACTGTAATACTTTACTGTAGTACTTTACTGTAGTACTTTACTGTAGTACTTTACTGTAATACTTTACTGTAGTACTTTACTGTAATACTTTACTGTAATACTTTACTGTAGTACTTTACTCTAGTACTTTACTGTAGTACTGTGCAGTTGTACATTATACTGAGTCTCAGTGTTTGTTCCTGCAGGGTCACAGCATCACAGTACTGCTCCATATCCACAGCCAGTGTCCAACCACCCAGGTACCCAATCTGTCCAAAGCTGTCCTTTAAAATAACGTCAATATCAATAACATCACTGTCTCACTGTGTCCCTGACTGTCTCACTGTCTCTGACTGTCTGACTTTCTCACTGATTGTCTCACTGACTTTCTCACTGTGTCTCTGACTGTCTCACTGTGTCCCTGACTGTCTCACTGTCTCTGACTGTCTCACTTTCTCTGACTGTCTGACTGTCTCACTGACTGTCTCACTGTCTCTCTGACTGTCTCGCTGTCTTCCTGTCTCCAGGTCCAGAGTTCTGGTGTTCAATCTCGTACTTTGAGTTGGATGTTCAGGTCGGGGAGATGTTTAAGGTCCAGTCCAACTGTCCTCTGGTGACGGTGGACGGTTACGTGGATCCTTCAGGAGGAGACAGATTCTGTTTGGGACAGCTGAGTAATGTCCACCGCACTGCTGCCAGCCACCGTGCAAGGTAACCAATCTTCTTCCATACAGCATGATGTCTATTTAGGACATTATGGTCCCATTCAGAGTGAAATAGGTTCCAACATATCGACTCACTGTGAGTGGAAACACTACAGTTTCTGTTATTGTCTCCTTCCTTTGTCTCCTCTGTACAGTTACTGAGTCCTTTATTCTTCTCCTGCAGACTCCACATCGGTCGGGGGGTTCAGCTGGAGTGTCGGGGGGAGGGGGACATCTGGATGCGTTGCCTTAGCGACCACTCAGTGTTCGTCCAGAGTTTGTACCTGGACCGTGAGGCAGGCCGAGCGCCAGGAGACGGAGTTCATAAGATCTACCCCGGAGCGTATATCAAGGTGAGTTGATACGCAGACGACACTCTGCTGTCTGTCTGTCTATCTGTCTGTCTGTCTGTCTGTCTCTGAAGGACACACTGACACAGACTGTAAAAAATCCTAAAATGTTACAATAATACTTCCTCCTTACCTGTACTTAGATATGCTATATGCTAGGCTAATCTATGTTGAAAAAAAACACATATATAGTCCATCTTAACTTTGCTAATGTTAGCAAAATGCTAGCTAACTAGCTAGCTTATATACTTCAATCATTACCTAACTAATTGTGAAGTGTTTTATTACGTTAGCTATCAGATGTAACTAACTAGCTAAGATTCATGTAGATTAACTAGCTACTTAATGATGGATATAGATTAGCAAAGTCGTTAGCTAGTTGCTTGCTAACATTAGCAATCAGATGTAACTAACTAGCTAACGATTAATAACCAGGTCCTTGAACCGTTCTGGATCCGGTTCCCTGTTGGTGAAAATGTACACCAATAAAGACATTACGTACTGTATAATCTCTACATGTGAAGAACCTGAAGACTGTCTGTCTCTCTCCTGTCTGTCTGTACAGGTGTTTGACCTGAGGCAGTGTCACAGACAGATGCAGCAGCAGGCAGCGGCGGCTCAGGCAGCGGTGATGACTCAGGCGGCGGCAGTTGTCGGTGCGATTCCGGGGCCGAACAGCGTGGGGGGAATCGCCCCTGCTGTCAGTGAGTATCACATGTCTCTCTCTCTCTCTGGGTACCTGTCTCTCTCTCTGTGTATCAGTGCGCAGTGCCACCTGGTGGACAGTGAGACAGACTGAGTATTTAAACTGACAATAACGTGAACTCTACAGTTAACAAATTGCTGGGTAGCCAATGTAGCAAAATCGTTAGCTATACACCTTTGCTTTGTACTGTTACATTATTTATTATTGGCTAAAATCAAGTTATGCTAATGTCAGTGGTTGGCCAACAATCAATGATTAGCTTTTTTTTTCAAGTTTTGAAACTTGTGACTTCCTGTCCAGATGTGTGTTCGGCAGCCGGTCTGGGCGTGGACGACCTGCGCAGGTTGTGCATCGTGCGTCTGAGCTTCGTTAAAGGTTGGGGGTGCGACTACCCGCGTCAGAGCATCAAGGACACCCCCTGCTGGCTGGAGGTCCACCTGCACCGAGCGCTGCAGCTGCTCGACCAGGTGCTGCACGCGCTGCCGCCGCAAGAACACATCCTCTGACGGGCCGTGGCAACTCTGTGTATGATGGCGGGCGGAGCTTAGCTAACAGGACAGCCAATCACAGCAGAGAAGGCATACCCCCGTCCTCCTCCACAGAGCTCATTGGTCGGTTCAGAAAGGCTTCAGACAATCAGCCAATCACAGCATCTCATCCCTCCTGATACCACATTAAAGGGTCCGTTCACAAAAATCCTCTGATCTTAATTCTGAAAAAATTTAATAAATATGAATGAACATTTCTTGAATGTTTTCAACCAGAAGTTTATGAGTTAAATTAAGTCCAGTTTGTAATTTCCTGCTTTTATTAATATCCGGTTTTATTTTTGTGCTCATGAACCTGCTTTGGTGTTAGTGTTTGTGTTTGTGGTGGTTTCTTCCTTTGCCAGCACAACCAACAGAGAGTGAGGGACAAACAGTTTAACCTTCAGCCATAACTTCCATCAACTTATTTATTATTTCTCAGTGTTGTTAACTAGCAGATTTTGACCTGACCAATATGAAGTTGTCACATTGAGAACTTTTTTGTGGTCCGAACCCCCCACTCCCTCCCCACTTTTAACAGGAAACACGTGAACAGCTCTCTGCTTCCTGTTTGATGGTGGTTGTGTGGAGTTCCTCAGGGGTCGATTCTGGGTCCTGCCGCGTTCTCCCTTTAATGCTGCATTCAGTTTGAGTGAACTGACCTTTTAACAAACTTTAACTGCCAAAAATCAGCTGTTACATTTTCCTTTGTTTGTTCCTTTATTGATTATTTATTTTTCATTGATTATTTGCCAAAGATTCACTTCCTGTTCTTGATGAAATCATATCCTGTTTACTCGGCGATTCAGATTATTTATTTAGGTTGTTGTTTTTTTCTCTCTCAGCTTTTTTTACCACAATGTATATTTTAATGCTTTTATACTGAAAGGGTCTATAACTGCAATATCTGCTGTTTATTCAAAATTAAACTTTTTGCATAAAAAAAACTTCTGTGTTTTTATTTATAAAATATATAAACATAATAAAATCACTATTCCTATTACTTAACTTAATCTTTATTCATTCCCTTCGTCTGTAACGAGTGAAGCACTTTATATCTTTCACTGTAAAACACGAGTTGGTTCAACTGTTCATTAACTTATATAAAAAAATATTTGAGTAGAAGTAACTAAAGTATGTATTAGGTAAAGTTGATTTTACCAATTACATTCAGTTAATTCAACTAGTGAGTAAATATAGTACGATAAAAATGATAAAAATGTTTTACAATAATCGTTGAGGAAACTAACCAGTTAATTTTCTGTGGATCCACTAATCTAATTGTTACAGCTGTAATAAAGTTGTTAACAACCTTTTGCTTGTTTATGTGACTATCATCACATTGTCACTTATGTATATTTGTTCATATGATGATTTATAAAGTGAAATATCAGCAGCATTATAGCAGTGTGCAGTTTCTGTAATCATATAAAGTCAGCTTAAAGACAATGAGTCACTGGAACAAACTGTAATTATATCACAAGGATCTATTTTACAGTGTTGTTGTTTATGTTTGATTCAGTGAGAGAATGAGGAAATAAAAGATTCAGACAGAAATAGAGTTTATAGTTTGTTATTGAACGAAACTGTCAGCTGCTGTTCAACCTGAACTCCACTGGGTGACAGCAGTGAGCAGGAAACGCTTTACAGTCTTACTTACTCTTTAGGTGTTTCCTCACCTGTCTGACACTCAAACTGAACACAGACAATACTATATACGTACTATTATACTATATACATACTATTATACTATATACGTACTATTATACTATATACATACTATTATACTATATACGTACTGTTATACTATATACATACTATTATACTATATACGTACTGTTATACTATATACATACTATTATACTATATACGTACTGTTATACTATTTACATACTATTATACTATATACACATACTATTATACTACTATATAGACATACTATTATACTATATACACATACTATTATACTACTATATATACACATACATACTATTATACTATATATACGTACTATTATACTATATATACATACTATATATACGTACTATTATACTACTATATATACATACTATTATACTACATATATACACTATTATACTATATACACATACTATTATACTACTATATATACACATACATACTATTATACTATATATACGTACTATTATACTATATACATACTATTATACTATATATACATACTATATATACGTACTATTATACTACTATATATACATACTATTATACTACATATATACACTATTATACTATATACACATACTATTATACTATATATATGTACTATTATACTATATACATACTATTATACTATATATACATACTATATATACACGTACTATTATACTACTATATATACTATTATACTATATATGTACTATTATACTATATACATACTATTATACTATATATACACTATTATACTATAGATATACACTATTATACTATATACACATACTATTATACTACTATATATACATACTATTATACTATATATACATACTATATATACGTACTATTATACTACTATATATACAACAATTAACAAATACTATTATACTACTATATATACATACTATTATACTACATATATACACTATTATACTATATACATATGCTATTATACTATATATACATACTATATATACGTACTATTATACTACTATATATACACACACACTATTATACTATATACACATACTATTATACTACTATATATACATACTATTATACAATATATACACACTATTATACTATATATACATACCATTATACTATATAGATACACTATTATACTATATATACATACTATTATACCACATATATACATACTATTATAGTATATATACATACTATTATACTACTATATATACATACTATTATACTGTATATACATACTATTATACTACTATATATACATACTATTATACTGTATATACATACTATATATACGTACTATTATACTACTATATATACTATTATACTGTATATATACACACACTATTATACTATATATACATACTATATATACGTACTATATATACGTACTATTATACTATATACACACACATACTATTATACTACTATATACATACTATTATACTACTATATATATATATATATATTATTATACTATATATACATACTGTATATACATACTATTATACTATATACACACATACTATTATACTACTATATACATACTATTATACTACTATATACATATGTTTATACTATATATACATACTATTATACTCAGAAGCTGAAACTGCATCGTTTTTGGCATTTTTGACAAAAAGAAGACTGATAATCAAAAAATATTTTTGTCATTAACGTCATAAAATATCTGATAAAACATGAAAACATATAAAATATAATTTTCATACATTAAATTGTTGTTTTTGTTCTCAGGACAATATGGCGCCAATGAGGACAAAGAGAGGGCGGATGTACAGTTTAAATGTTTCGTGTCCGTCCTCTGATTGGTCAACGCCTTTGGAGTTTCAACGAATCACAGAGTAGAGTCTTGCATAACGAGTTGCTGGGGGCGGGATTCAGTGAGTGGCTCATCGTCGGACCAATGGGAGACCAGAATCTGGAAATGTATGAATATTTATCGGGAGGGGGCGTGGTCTCCCAGTGGAGGTCGGGCGCGAGCGAACATGGAGGTTTAGTTACTGTGTGACACCGACTGGAGGAGGAAGCACCGTGAGCGCGCGCTTCACTCAACCGGGTTTTATTTTCACTTTTTATTTGTTCCGCTTTGTTTCCGTTGTTTTCGCCGCCCGAGCTTCGGCCTCCAGCATGGAGATGAAGAAGAGGATCAGCCTGGAGCTGCGGAACAGAAACCCAGCGGAGGTGTGTAACCGCGCGGACTACATGACGATGCTGAAACATTCCGCGGGAAAACGGACGTCGAGTTCCTTCCGCGGAGTCTGTAAAACGGCCTCTTCCGACATTTTGAGCCAGAAAACAACTTAAGCACAGCTCCAACATGGAGGACCATCCTCCGGCCGCTGCTGGAGGAGCCCGCCGCGGGGACACGCTCACCCGCCTGCTGGTGGGGACTCCCCTACGCGGACGCTTTATTTTTCGGTCCAGGATGGTGAAGTCACGCCCCGCCCTACTCTGCCTCTGATTGGCTTTACTGACATTCTAACCAATCAGATCAACGGTGGCAGCCGGCAGTAGCCAATCAGAGCCCGATTAGGGCGGGTTGTGTCTTCACCAGCCGGGAAGAAATGGCTCCCGCGACCCTCCAGCCGCTAGCATACGGGCTAACAGGCTAACATGGCGAGCCGTCATTAGAGACCCGGGGCCGGGGTTAGTCGGTTGGGGGTCGGCGCCAGTTCTCGGTGTTAGAGGAAAAACACACCCGCGAATGTTTGCTTGTTTTCGGTCACATTTGTTTAACCCCCCCGGAGCAGCGCGCGGCCGAGCAGGCTACCATTTTAACCTTCATCGTTAAATAGTTCCACGATGCTTTAATCTGATGGCGCGTCAGACCAGACTCCGTTCTGAAAATCACTCATTATCAATATATTTGATTGGAGGCGGTCGTGGCTTTCTGCCCCAGTCTGATTGAAATGGTTTTCTGATTGTGCAGGTGCTGCTGGTCTCTTCCGCTCCTCTTTAAACCAGCAACAGTGTTTATTTAGGTCAGAGTGTAAAGTTTAAAGACTGCTTCATCCCGCTGTTCCCGCCCACCGACGCTGTGTTTTGGTCCGTTAAACGGTGAAGATCAATAACAGACACAATGAACGTTAATATATATATTAAAAATATTCTCCACACTTTCATAATTTAATGAGTCTATTACAATAATCTATCAATAAAGTACAATTGGAGTCTTTATGGCTCCAGTTTGGTTGATGAAACAAAACAAATCCGGACTTTTATCAGCGTTTCCCTCCATTATTTAATATATTGGTTAATATTTAATATATTGGTTAATATTTGATATATTGGTTAATATTTGATATACTGGTAAATATTTAATATAATGGTTTTCGTTAACCAGCGGTAACGAGTAACGGCAGCTGTTCTTCAGAAAATGTTTTAATGACAGATTAACATTTGTTAGTTAAAATGAGATACTTCATGAAACTCTTGGTACTTCCTGTTGTCTGCCAGAACTTTTATTCTGAAACTTTATTAAACTAATTCAGATAACAAACATCATCAGTTAGTTATATCAGCTGATTGATCAGGTAGTGAGATATATATATATATATATATATATATATATATATATATATATATATAATGAAACACAGAGCACGCAGTGGTTTCCTGGGTTGTTGTGAGTGTCTGTGCTGGAATGAGGTCGTGGTGACATGGTGTCTTGTTGTTATGGCGACCAGGTGGTGGAGCTGGTGGTGGACAACTGTCGCTCCGTTGACGGCGAGGTCGAAGGTCTGACGGACGCGTACACGGAGCTGGAGATCCTCAGTATGGTGAACATCGGCCTCACGTCGCTCTCCAAACTGCCCTCACTGCCCAAACTACGCAAGGTCAGTCCCTCGCCTACTCTTCCCACAATGCAACACTGCTCAGTCTGCTCTTCCTCACCGTGTGCTCTGTGTTTCAGCTGGAGGTGAGTGATAACACTATCTCAGGAGGTTTGGACACGTTGGCGGAGAAATGTCCAAACCTGGCGTACCTGAACCTGAGCGGGAACAAGATCAAAGAGCTGAGCACCATCGAGGTTCTGGTGAGTTCTGCTTCACGTCTTCTAATCAATATCATCCATAAAGATACAGTGTATACTGATCAATATCATCCATAAAGATACAGTGTATACTGATCAATATCATCCATAAAGATACAGTGTATACTGATCAATATCATCCATAAAGATACAGTGTATACTGATCAATATCATCCATAAAGATACAGTGTATACTGATCAATATCATCCATAAAGATACAGTTATTATATAAATCATCCATAAAGATACAGTGTATACTGATCAATAAACTGTACAATACAGGTATACTGATCAATAATTATACTATAAAATCAAACAAACAGTGTATACGAAATATATAAATACAGTGTATACTGATCTGTTGTGAAATTGATGAATCCTGATTCTATCTGGTTTTTCACAATAAGAGCGTCCCTCTGTTCTGTGTGTTCTGCAGCAGAACCTGAAGAACCTGAAGAGTTTGGACCTGTACAGCTGTGAAGTTTCCACACTGGAGGATTATAGAGATAGCGTCTTCGAGCTGCTGCCTCAGCTCACCTATCTGGACGGGTACGACCAGGAGGACAACGAGGTCCCCGACTCAGAGGCCGACAACGGTGAGACAGACACTGGGTCGGTAGGGGAGGCGGTCGGTAGGGGAGGCGGTCGGTAGGGGAGGCCGTCGGTAGGCCGTCGGTAGGGGAGGCGGTCGGTAGGGGAGGCGGTCGGTAGGGGAGGCGGTCGGTAGGGGGAGGCCGTCGGTAGGCCGTGGTAGGGGAGGCGGTCGGTAGGCCGTCGGTAGGGGAGGCGGTCGGTGTAGGGGAGGCGGTCGGTGGGGAGGCGGTCGGTGGGGGAGGCCGTCGGTAGGCCGTCCGGTAGGGGAGGCGGTCGGTAGGGGGAGGCGGTCGGTGGGGAGGAGGCCGTCGGTAGGCCGCGGTAGGGGAGGCCGTCGGTAGGGGAGGCCGTCGGTAGGGGAGGCCGTCGGTAGGGGAGGCCGTCGGTAGTGAAGCCGTCAGAGCTGCGGTCTGCCGCCACCTGCTGGTACAGACGTTTATTACATCAATCAACTTCCTGTCAAATTTTGTTCCAGACGACGAAGATGAAGCCGGACCTCCAGGAGACGACGATGACGAGGATGAAGACGAGGATGATGAGGAAGGCTCTGAAGGGGAAGAGGACGAGGTGGGCCTGTCGTACCTGATGAAGGAGGGGATCCAGGTGAGTGTGAGCAGGTGGTGATGATGAAGATGATGACAAACGGCTCCACTGACGAAGTCTTTCTCTCAGGACGAAGAAGATGATGGAGACTATGTGGAGGAAGAAGAGGAGGACGAGGAGGAGGAGGATGAGGAGGAAGATGGAGGTTAGTGTTTATCAATAGTAAAATCGATCAGTTGCGTTCCGTCTGCAGACCGAAGTATTGATCTGTGATTGGTTGTGTAGATGCTGCAGCCGTTCAGGGGGAGAAGAGGAAGAGAGATGCAGAGGATGAAGGTGACGACGATGATGATGATGAATGATCACCTTCACACACTGTAGCCGCCCCCTCAACCCACCCCCCGACCCCCCTCCAGTGACCCCTGACCCCGCCGGACGTCCCCTCGGAGCCGCAGACAGACAGGAAACAGGTTCAGGATCTCACATCATGTGACTGGTGATGTCATCATTAACCTGGTGACCAACAGGAAGTGTTCAGATTGAAAAACTTTATTTACAACACGTACTGCAGTGTTTCAGCAGACCGTTACCGTGGCGACTGACAGGGAGGACAGGGAAGGCAGCAGTTAGCGGAGGTCACACGTGATGCATTCAGGGACAGCATCCCGTGGAGGAGTAGACTGCGAGGCGTTCAGGTGTCCTCGCGTTACAGCCGCACTCAGACACCTCCAGGTGAAACGGCTAACGTAGCGGCTAACAGCCCGTTGACAGAGGATCCGTTTTACCGGCGCTGTCAGCAGCCTGCAGCAGAGGCGCTGTGGTGCATTGTGGGTAAGCGGCTGTAAACAGGCTCTCGCTGTAATGGTGACTTTTTATATATTTTCTGTATTTTAACAAACCGGTGATTAACGGCGTTTTTATCTCCAGTGAATTCAGTCTGAACACTTCCTGACTCTAAATACTACAGTTCCCATGAGCCTCAGCGCTGTGACATCAGGGCCGACCCTCCACAGCTGATCCAAGGAGCAGTGCATTCTGGGGTTCTTTCTTTTAAAATAAACGACTGTTAGCGCATTAACCCTTTGTGTCGGGTGTAGCCTCGCCCCCTGTGGGTCTGCGGCTCTCGGCGTCCGTCCGGGTCCCGGGTCCCGGGTCCCGACTCTGGTCTGTAAATAGAAGTGGTCTCTGTGGGTTTGTGTGGTCCTCTCTGAACCTGAACCACGTTGGGGATTCTCCTGAGTTAATTTTATTTTTTTATTCCCGTCTGATCGTGTCGCTGTAACCAGAGTGTCTTTTTCAATAAAACCACTGAACTCTCAGCGTCTCCTTCCTGTCACCAATCAATATATCAGTTATTGGTTCTATTGTCCTCAGATACAAAACACATTTCTATATCAAGGAACCTCAATGAAAGGCAAATAAATATGCTTCACTGGTTTATATTATCAATATTTCCTATTGATCAGTATTAATAACTGATCAAACAGTGAATATTGATCAGCGATGAGTTTTCCTGATATATTGATCCATTGTCTGTATTCTCTTTTTTTTTATTATTTTAACAATCAGACTTAATATTCTTCTTTCTGACAGATTCACTGTTTATTGATCTATCAGCTGTTTGCTTTGGTCAATAATAATGAAAAAGATAAACTGATCAATAAAGATAAACACTGATCAATAATAAAGATAAACACTGATCAATAATAAAGATAAACATTAGAGTGTAGTGTTGATATAATGAATCAGTTTGATCAGCTAAAACAATAATCATTAGTGTGAGAATTGATTGATGAGCTCTGAGGTCATAAATATGATCAGATTGTTGTCATACTGATGAGATCATTACACTGTTTCCACCACAGGGCGGCGCCACTCATCCTCCTCTCATCCTCCTATCATCCTTTCATCATCCTCTCATCCTCCTCTCATCCACTAATCCACTCATCCTCCTCTCATCTACTCATCCTCCTCTCATCCTTTCATCATCCACTCATCCTCCTCTCATCCACTAATCCACTCATCCTCCTCTCATCTACTCATCCTCCTCTCATCCTTTCATCATCCACTCATCCTCCTCTCATCCACTCATCCTCCTCTCCTACTCATCATCCTCTCATCCTCCTCTCATCTACTCATCCTCCTCTCATCCTTTCATCATCCTCTCATCCACTAATCCACTCATCCTCCTCTCATCCTTTCATCATCCTCTCATCCTCCTCTCATCCACTAATCCTTTCATCCTCTCATCCTCCTCATCCACTAATCCACTCATCCTCCTCTCACTCACTAATCCACTCATCCTCCTCTCATCCTCCTCTCATCCTTTCATCATCCTCTCATCCACTAATCCACTCATCCTCCTCTCATCCTTTCATCATCCTCTCATCCACTAATCCACTCATCCTCCTCTCATCTACTCATCCTCCTCTCATCCACTAATCCTCTCATCCTCCTCTCATCCTCCTCTCATCCTTTCATCATCCTCTCATCCACTAATCCACTCATCCTCCTCTCATCCTTTCATCATCCTCTCATCCACTAATCCACTCATCCTCCTCTCATCCTCCTCTCATCCTTTCATCATCCTCTCATCCTCCTCTCATCCACTAATCCTTTCATCCTCTCATCCACTAATCCACTCATCCTCCTCTCATCTACTCATCCTCCTCTCATCCACTAATCCTCTCATCCTCCTCTCATCCTCTCATCAACCTCTCATCATCCACTCATCCACTAATCCTTTCATCCTCTCATCCTCCTCTCATCCACTAATCCACTCATCCTCCTCTCATCCTTTCATCATCCTCTCATCCACTAATCCACTCATCCTCCTCTCATCCTCCTCTCATCCTTTCATCATCCTCTCATCATCCACTCATCCACTAATCCTTTCATCCTCTCATCCTCCTCTCATCCACTAATCCACTCATCCTCCTCTCATCATCCTCTCATCCTCCTCTCATCCACTAATCCACTCATCATCCTCTCATCCACTCATCCTCCTCTCATCCTCCTCTCATCCACTCATCCACTAATCCTTTCATCCTCCTCTCATCCTCATTACAATACAATAATCTCTCTCTCCACCCACTGGACCAATCAGAGACCTGCGTGTGTCAGGTGTGTGCGGAGGTCATTTAAATCGTTTTGCGTTTGTTTGGAGGAGCAGAGACTGAACCAGACAAACAAATGATCTGCAGACACTCACTGATTCACTGAAGCTCCGCCCCCTCCACCTGCAACACCTGACACCTCTGAACTGTGACAGGGGTCACACTGGCTGCTCTGTCACCATGGAAACAGTGTTCAGTTTAAAGCAGAGACTTTGCATTAAAGAGTCTGACTGACCTCTGCAACCACCACACTGATACTGCAGTAATACTACACTGATACTACAGTGTTACTACACTGATACTACAGTAATACTACACTGATACTACAGTGTTACTACACTGATACTACACTGATACTACAGTGTTACTACATGTTACTACAGTAATACTACACTGATACTACAGTGTTACATTATACTAGATGACTACTAATACTACAGTGTTACTACAGTGATACTACAGTAATACTACACATACTACACTGATACTACAGTGATACTGCAGTAATACTACACTGATACTACAGTGTTACTACACTGATACTACAGTAATACTACACTGATACTACAGTGTTACTACACTGATACTACAGTGTTACTACAGTAATACTACAGTGATACTACAGTGTTACTACAGTGTTACTACAGTAATACTACACTGATACTACAGTAATACTACACTGATACTACAGTGTTACTAAAAATGATACTACAGTAATACTACAGTAATACTACATAATACACACTATACTACAGTAATACTACATTAATACTACATATACTCAGTAATACTACAGATACTACAGTGTTACTACAGTGTTACTACAGTAATACTACACTGATACTACAGTAATACTACACTGATACTACAGTGTTACTACAGTAATACTACAGTGATACTACAGTGTTACTACACTGATACTACAGTGTTACTACAGTAATACTACACTGATACTACAGCGTTACTACACTGA